TAAATTATTTAGACTTTTGAAGGAAAAAAAAGGGATTTAAATGACCACAGTTATGTTTGAGTCCATAAAAAAAATAAGAATAACTGATTGAATTAGATTGAAGACATGGGGTTAAATAAACTGATAATAGATTTTTACCTCAATTATAACTACCCTATAAAATATACTTTATCCCGTAGAACATATTTTATCCTGTGAAACATATTTTATCCTGTAGAACAAATTTTAGACAACACATTCTTACCATGTATACTGAACTTTTCGAAGTAATAAAAGTAAAAAGCTCAGCGGCAAACTATTTGTTTTTGACCACGGATATTCGAATAGCTAAAGATTTGTTTCTGACCACGGATATTTGGATAGATGATATCGCCAAATTCGCATTCTTAATCATTACTGGTCACTGGATGAGCCAAACTCATTGTACTCACTGATGTCTAAAATAACTAAAATAAAATAAGTTATTATAGAGATCAGTGATTGTACTTTGAAAATTGGTATTTCAAAGTCATTGACTTTTTATAAAGTAATACAAGTGTAATTGGCGAGTACAGAAAGGTTTGGAACCTTTTGAAATTCTTTTAAGCAAAATTCATCTTATTGTTAGAGATCATACAAGTAATATGAAAGCTGGTATAAAAAACAGTGGAATAGCATCAATTCCATGCTTTATACATACCTTGCCACTTTGTAATCATGACTCTATATTGAGTCATATGTCAAGTAAAGATTTTATGCAAATGATTAACATTTTCTAGGTCTATTTGAAAACTTAAAAAAAAATTGACAGAAGGAACGAAACTTGTCCACAAATGATAACATTCATTTTTCCATCCATTCTTGCAAAATTTCTATTAAAAAAAGCATTATGAAAAAAATACACTCAGATTAAAACAATGATTTATGAACTAAAAAAATCTGTATTAAAAAAATTTTTTTGCATGAAAAGAATTATGTATAGGGTTGCCAGACGTCCGGTTTTAACGGAGGAAAATACAGTGCTAAACCTGTAAAAATAAATTTTTTTACTGAGTTCTCCTTCATAAAAGCCGAATATCTGGCTTATTATGTATAACAATATTTTAGAATCCTCGATATAAATTAGTATGTTAACATGCAGATGACAATGTTCTTAAAACACGGGTAAAAGAAGCTGGAAAAAAATGCATGGAGTGCGAGATATAAATGATACCGAATCAGACGATATTTCAACAATGAAACCTGCAGTTTCTGCCGGAACTAATATCGATGATTGTAACTTTTTTGAAAGCCAGAAAAAAACAGTTAAAAAAAATACCCGATTTAAGAAGCAAACATATTCATTTTTGTGGTGGGATAGTTGTGGGATGCAACTTGAAAAATTAAGAAGGATAGCGTTTAAATATCTAACTTCTCTATTATAATTATAGAAAATAAAAAATTATTTAGCGTTGGTAGGATATATACGAAGCAATAAGACGTAGACTAAAATCTGATTGCGGAGAATACTTAATGTTTTTTTACTATAATCTGAAGTTAAATAAACAATTAAAAGGTAAATAAAAACTACTTGAAATAAGATGTTGAATATGTTATGTAAAAAAACAAATCTTATTGTTGAGTAACTTTATTCTTACAGTATTGCAAAATTTCTTGACAGAAAATATACAAAAAATAGGGATTTTTTTTTTTTTTCTTTTTGAAGTTTTGCGTCCATACTTGACCACTTGTGTGGTTTGGATTTGTTTCCATAAGGCCATTTTTTTTTTTTTTTTTAATTTGAGATTATAAAAATTATTTTACAACCGGATCCCCTTCCTGACATTAAACTGTTATACAGATCACTAAGAGCCAATGTAATAGTTTATTAGTTATTTTTAAAGGTATACTTATAACTGCATCTAAACTCTCAGACTATGCATAGTCTGAGAGTTATTATATTATTCTTTAATATATCGATTGACTATAGGATAAACTAAAATAAATGTACATACATGTATGTACATTTATTTTAGCTTATCCTTTAGTCAATCGATATATTAAAGATTAATATTATAATAAACTTTAAAATATAGATTTATTTATTTTGAAATTAATAAAACATTTTGTGGTACTTCGTGAGTCTTTTCAAAATTTTGAAAAAAATAACCGGTGCCGGGTGCTCGGAAACCCGGTATTTTTATTCGGGTGCTTTGACTTAAGGATTTGGCATATACTGGTTCCGGTACACCTCTAATCAAATTAAAAAATTAAAATTAATGTTTTTTGTTGCTAGTAGTAGTAGTAGTAGTAGTAGTAGTAGTAGTAGTAGTAGTAGTAGTAGTAGTAGTAGTAGTAGTAGTAGTAGTAGTAGTATTTTTCAGTTAATTTTATAGAATATTAGTCTCCACTATCTTAATCAATGTAACATGAAGTTATATCGATATCCTTTCAGTACGATTTTTTTTTTACACCGCACAAACTTATTAAAATTTTTATCGCATTTATACCCCCTCCATAATTTGCTTCTATTTTCAAACAACTGCTTAGTTAAATATTCTCCCCCTTGTTCTATAGTGTATAAAAAAAATTAAAATTGAAATGTTTCTTGACTTTTTTTATTTTTTTTTAAGTTCCTAAATTTTCCATGAAATTTCCTAACTAATATCCAAATAAAAAAATTGCAATTTATTGTTTAAAAAACAGTTAATTAAAGAAAAAAAGTTTGTTACATAATTCAAGTTTTGTGTGTCTTCTAAAGTTTTTCCTGCTCTAGGCCTCTACCTCCTTTAATCTGATTCTGGTTATCCTTATGTACTTTAATATGTTGTTTTAATGTTGTTTTTTAAATTGCTTGTGCAAGTAACAAGCAGAGATTCGAGAAAAAGTTATTTATATAATAAAACTAATTAAATATAATTGAAATAAATTAGTAAATAGAAAAATAATAACTTCATCTATTACATTGTTTTTATATTTGTTAAGTTTATTTATTTTATTTTTTGTTAGTTCTTTTTTGAGTGTAATGTAATATCATTTAATTTACTGTACTTATTTCAATATTGACTATTTTTTTAATATTAATTATTTTACTAGTATTGTAACTGGTATTACTATTATAACTCGGTCTCATTCAAGTTTTGAAAAAATCAAATTTCTAAACAGTTATTTCCTAATTACATTAATTATATGATCATTCACCGATGTTGTTGATATTGCTGCAGAACAGTTAGAATCTTGTTGTAAAATCTTTGTCCAGTCAGACAGGTTCCAGCAGTCTCTATTGATATTAAAATAGAAAGCTGAATAATACATAAAAAATTTTTTTTTTGCTTGTTTATATTCAGGTTTATTATTATTTACTTAACCCCCTATCAGTTATATTTGACGATTGGAAAGTGATACTTATATGTGAACGACGGATATAGCCGTCGTTGAGCCATCATTTTAAAGATTTGTATCTTAGGCAAAGCTGTATGAATATTTTTAGTGTTTTTCACTCAGAGATCTGAAAATAGTTCAACTTTCTGGTCTGTATCTTGTTTGAATTATTTTTCCTCTTGTAGTGCATATGTATGTATATATGTATATATATATATATATATATATATATATATATATATATATATATATATATATATATATATATATATATATATATATATATATATATATATATATATATATATATATATATATATATATATATATATATATATGAAATTTAGTTTATTATATTTAAAATAACAAATATATATATGTTTTAGTTTACAACTTGCATATAGATTTTTCTTTTAGGGTTGAGCGGGGCACCAAGGAGCGCTATTTTTTCTTTAATGTGTAAAATATGAAAAATGAGCTAAATAATAATTTAAAAAATATATTTTTTAAATTATTATTAATTTATTATTATATATATAATAAAATATGAGCTTTTCAGCTCACATTTTATTATAAATAAAAAAAGCTTGACAAGACTCTAGACTACCCATAAATAACATTATTAAAAGTTCATTATTGGTTTTTAATACATTTTAATTTGCTTTTGTGAGGTAATGTTTAATAAGTCAACGTGCCCCGCTATTGGTTTAAGTTGGCCTATGGGTATAATATGGGGGCAAAGTTAATTTTCACCAACTCCTTTTTTGTTTTGCTTTTCGTTATTTTGTTTTATTTGTTTAATTAAAAAAATATAAAAAAAAATTCTTATTTATTTACTTATTATTTACCTCAAGTTTTTTATTATTTTAAAAACATTCTAAAACGCAAAACATTATTATCGGAAATGAAAACAAGGTATTTAACACACACAAAAAAAAAAAATTGTTGAGGATCCGATGTAACTGAAGGACAACGTGTCCCATTTGCATTGGGCCAACCTGTCTCGTCGTAATGTTTAAAGTATAAACATTACGAAGAGACAGGTTGGCCTAATTTTTTTTCGGAAAGAGGGTTAAATTACTACCAACATTCACCAAAATTCCCAGCTCGCTAAAGCGCACATCGTGTCTTTGAATGAACTCGACTGGGCTAACCTACCCTTATGGCCAACCTGCCCCTGTCTACCCTACAACTTATTTAAATATTCGCATAGCTGTAAATGACAACAAATAGACATAAAAACTTATTACAAGTAAATTAAAATAACTTTTTCATTTTTAAATTTATTTTCATATCAAAAAAAATTAATATTTTAATTATGGGTAGGTTTGAGGTTTATATTGATGCGAAACAAGCAAATTATAATAACAGAGAAAATATAAAGAAATAACTTTGATAAAAAATGAAATACAAAATCTTAAATATATCAATAAAAATGTTTTCAAGCTCTTAATAGCATATTTAAAAAAAAGTTTAAAAAAAATTTATGAGATTTTCGAATTTCTCATTAAAAAGTTGAATTTCTCATTAAAAAGATTGATTTTCGAATTTCTCATTAAAAAGTTTATGAGATTGATTTTTGAATTTCTCATTAAATAACTTCAAACTCTTCGAAGTTGAGTATGATTTTCTTTAAAACTTAATGTTTGTTTTTGAGGTAGAATAACCAATGAAGCGTCGTACAAAATCATAAGCCATTCACAAGACAAAATATTCCTGCGAATTAGAAAGATGTTTTGTTTGTTGAAAGATTTAACGATAAAAGATAAAAGTTGCATTTGAATTGTTTAAACAATTTTGTTAAAATTTGGACAACAGCAAGGAATTATTTTTATGTTTGCAATTTAAATAGGAAAAATTAATTAGTTTAAAAACTAAAAGCTAAACTTGAATTTGTACAACTTTAACAAGATTTGAAACTTTTGAGAAGTTATAAATTAAGCATAATAATGATGACAAAACTAACGATGATAATAATGTTAATAAAACAAAAGACGAAAGTGGTTTTTAATTAATAAGACATTTAAAATTTAATTTTATGACTATAAAAGTCGTTAAACTTTAATCAATTACACTAGTTACTTGATTGTATGATAATATGAAATAAAATAATATAAAACAAAATAATATGATTAGAGACAGAGGCAAAAAAGAAAAAAAAAATTACCACTACGAATGCGCAGCAAAGTGTAAAGCTTTCAAAGAAATATCAGAAAGCGAATGTTCAACTGAAACCAAAAATGAAACAAATAAACATATTAATAAACTTTGCAGCTGTAGAGGCTGTATTGGAAATTTATACACAACTTCGGGTCGAATGGTTGTAATACCAAGTCCTGCTTTTGTTAATAATGACTCGCATCTTGAAACAACAGAAACTTCAGAAAAACAATTTTTGAACAAGCGAAATTTAAAAAAAAAATCAAGAAGTCACCGTGCAGAAAAAAAAGAGTTCAATCAAACACGACATAACACATTTCATTTACAAAATGGTTTAAATGCAAGTTGTAATAAAAAAAGAGAAATGAAAAAGAATAAACTCAAAAGTGTTGATCCCTGTTGTCCTTTATGTACAAAACCTTTTATCTGTCCGATATTATTGCCTTGCGCACATACTTTTTGCAAAGATTGCGTGACAGTTTTTGTAGAAACGAGCGATGGTAAAAAGTTTTCCTGCCCCGTTTGTACTACAGACATCTCTCTTATGGGTTCTGATGAAGAACTTTTTTGTCCAAACTTTATAATATTAAAAACTATCGAAAGTGACGATTGTGATAGTAACTTGTGCTCTGTGTGCGATCTTAATCAAGAGGCGCGTTACTTTTGCGAAGAATGTTCAGACCTGCTGTGCCATGAATGTAAAGAAAGACACCGGGTGGTAAAAAATACAAAAAAGCATGAAGTTAAAAGAATCACATCAGATACGGATATACTTAACGTTGTTAAAAAAAGATACTTTTGCTCAGAACATGAAAAGGAACAGCTCTTACTACACTGCTTGTACTGCCAGCAATCTGTATGTCGAGAATGTGCGTTAATAAACCATTACGGCGATAAGCATAACTGCATACCTATTGCCGAGGCTGCAAAACGCTACAGAGAAGTATTGCGGCGAAATCTTTACTCTTTAAAAAGTCGTTCTCCGAATTTACAATTGTCTTTGATGGATGTCAAAAGAATTAAAAAGCTTTTGAAGGACCAAGTAAGGAGTGTCAGAAAAGAAGTAGGAGAAAGCATTAAAAGAATTCTGAAGAATGTCAAAGAAAAAGAACAAGCGCTCTATCAAAATCTCGTTCAAGCATACAGGATAAAAGCAAAATCTTTAAATAAACACCGTGATACAATACTTATAGAGTTAGAGCAGTTCGAAGCAGCTAGTAGGTTGTTACAGCAACTTGAACATCACGAAAACAATGTTGAAATGCTCCAAATGAAAACGACAATTGATAAAACTCTAACAAATCTCGAAAAACCAGGATATTCATTTAATCTAGAACAAGAAACATTGATGTTTAGGTCTAGCGAAAAAGAAATATTAGCTGCTATTGATAGGCACGGTGAAATATTTCGTTTTTGCAATAAACATAAAAAAGAGACACTAGATGACATGTTTGGCAAACATACGGTTAAAAACAATTCTGCAAAAGAAAGTAGCTTTATAATTATATGTGACTTTAACACAGCACTTTCTCCTTCTGTATGGAGTTTCAAAGATGAAACCGGTGATATGTCAAATGATCGAAGGGACCGCGCCAGAAACCACTGGAGAATTTTACGACTTCGCTTAAATGAAATCATCGGAAACTGTAAAAATATTAAGCCGCAAATAAATGAGAGCATAAATTTAACAAACGATTCCCTTTTTAATGGAATTGGTAAATACAAAGATTTTTCATTAAAACCAATTACTCAGCTTTCTATCAATAAATCTAATAGCAAAAACGAAATTAAAAACATTAAAATTGATAAAGTTTTTATAGAAGCAAATTCACTGGAAATGCAATCTAAAACAGAACGTGCTTACTCAAATTGGCTTCTTGTTCAATCAAAAATTTATGATATTATTGACTATGGCAGAATGAAAGGTTTGATATCGTTCAACTCGAGGAATGCATCACTAAAATCTAATCGACGGCGAGAAAATAGGTTCATACTTAAAGTTCGTCACTATCGAGCAAAAACTTTGCGCGCGCGTGCTAATTGGAAGATTTTAATTTCAAAAGTTAGTTATGAAAACCATAAAAAGTTCTATCCATCATCAATTTCGTTTTTAGATGATTATAGAAAAGATTTAATTCAAACAAAAAATAAAGCAGCAAGTAATAAAACAATTGCGGGTAAAGTAAGAGCCTCTGCAAACTGGCTTCTTGTTAAAGCAAGAATAAAAGACATTATTTTAATTGAAAGAGATAACACACCTTTAAATACTTACAAATCCAATACTATAGTTCAAAGTACAAATTCGATCCAAACTAAAGTTACGCCTACTTTAAATAATGCAAATGTAAAATCAGGACAAACATTTACATCTTCAAAGTCTATAAAACACGACAGTAATCCAAAACTGGACAGCAAAAAAGAGGAAATTGAAAAAAAACAGATTTTCAAAGCTAAACTAGATCAATTAAGTTCTTCACTGGATAGGTTGAGTTTTGAAACATTTGATGTAAATAGCGCAATAGAGCAAAAAAGTTTTTTTTCATTGAATCAATCAAAATCTTTTAACTGTTTGAACACTAATTCTTTAAATAACTGCAACTTGCTGATGAAAAAAAATGTAAGTAAAGAATACACTGAAAGTAGTCCTGTCAAACTAAATGAAAAGCTTTCAAAGAGCATGTTAAACATTAGCGAAACTTCGAAAAATCTAACCTCGTGCAACAACTGGGACATTTTAATAAAAAATGGAAAATCAAATGAATTTTTAGAAATAACTCCAATTAAAACCTGCGCAAAACCACCAAAAGTCAAATCAAAAATTCCTCGACCCAAAAGAAATTCTTATGAAAGTACTGAAAAAGAAACTCACAAAAAAACCTTAAAACAACAGAAAAGCAATGACAACATAATAACTTTAAAAAAAAACAGTCAATCGAATATACCGATAAGCTATAAATCAAAAAACGTTAGGGATAGAGATAAAATCTCTAATAGTGCCCCAAACTTATCAAATAGTTCTTATAATGATAATATTGCTCTCGAAAATTGGATTAACTTGATAGAGAAAGCAGATGCTTCATCTCTCGTAGCTGATAGGGAAACATTTGAAAATTGGAGGCGTTTTTTTAACAGCAACAACAAAACAAAAAGCAAAAAACTTTCTGATAGTAAAGAAAAGGAAGCATTAAAAAATTGGAATGAGCTTTTAAATAATTCTACATCCAAAGAAGCATTACAAAACTGGGGTGACTTTTTAAAAGATCCTAAATCAAAAGAAGCATTACAAAATTGGAATGAGTTTTTAAAAAATCCTACATACAAAGAAGCATTACAAAATTGGAATGAGTTTTTAAAAAATCCTACATCAAAAGAAGCCTTAAAACATTGGGATGAGTTTTTAAAAGATCCTACATCAAAAGAAGCATTACAAAATTGGGATGAGTTTTTAAAAGATCCTACATCAAAAGAAGCATTACAAAATTGGGATGAGTTTTTAAAAGATCCTACATCAAAAGAAGCTTTAAAAAATTGGGATGAGTTTTTAAAAGATCCTACATCAAAAGAAGCATTACAAAATTGGGATGAGTTTTTAAAAGATCCTACATCAAAAGAAGCCTTAAAACATTGGGATGAGTTTTTACAAGATTCTACGTCAAAAGAAGCCTTAAAACATTGGGATGAGTTTTTGAAAGATGCTACATCAAAAAACATTACAGAGAAAGGTAAAGAAAACAGTTTAAATTTTGTTTTTACTTTAAATAGTTTTGCTACTTAAGTATTCTTATTTTATTTTTATAAAACCGTATATATATATATATATATATATATATATATATATATATATATATATATATATATATATATATATATATATATATATATATATATATATATATATATATATATATTTCGCAGTTAACAAAAATTTAATTTTTTAATGAACTTGGACTTTTCTGGGATTTTATAAAGGCAACAATTTGCGACGTTAGAATTATCTTGTTCTATCTCCACATTTATGGGTTTTGAGATAAAAAGATTTAAAAAAATAAAAACTAGACAATGGCATATAAAAGTTTTTTTATAACTTATATTTTCTCCGCAACATTTTTACTTACAATAAAAGTTTCAATTAAGTAGAAAAACATCATTCTGAGGTCCACAACACACTCAACACACACAACACACTCAACACACTCAACACACTCAACACATTCAACACACACAACACACTCAACACACTCAACACACTCAACACAATCAACACACACAACACACTCAATAACTGAGTGTTTTCAAAAAGTGGAGAGCGAAATAATTCTAACGTCGCGAATTACGAAAATAAATAATTTTATTTTCTTAATTTATAATTTACTCAATTTCCATTAAAAAAAGCTATAAATTGCTTTTTTTTTAATGGAAATTGACCTATCAGTCTTATCACAGAGCACTGCGAAAGTGCATTTAACTAGGAAGTTCACGTCTCCTTCCTGACTGACGAAAATAATCTCGTTTTCGAACCAGGATCTCTTGCTTCTAAAGTGAGAGTTTTAACCATTGCAACCGCATATTTTACACAGATTTAATGATAGCCTCATAAACACGAGGCAATCTGTTACACAGCAGATGTTAAAATCGGCCATCAACAGCCTTCTAAGTGTATTGAAGTGATATCCATAGGTCTTATTTCTCTATCGGAGGAAGTTTTTGCAACTCTGCCTAGATGATTCCAAAATATTTTGATTGCATTGCAGTAGAACTTTGAATTGACTACCTAATCAACTGTAGTAGTCCGTCTTCAGAGTTTTTTTGCATAATTATTCTTTCACGACTTTAGCTGTATGTTTTAGATCGTTGTCTTTTGGAAAACATATTTTTTATCAATAAGGTCTGTTTCACAATCCAAAACATGATCATCTAAAATATGCAAATAGGTCTCCTTTGCCACTCTTTTTGTCAACTTTTACAAATTTTCCGGCATGGCCACCTCAAAACAACCCTAAACCATGTTTCCATTCTTGTGATAAACTCTTTGAAATATGCAATCATCCCGCATCCTTTCTCCAGATCAACGAAAATGGACCAACGTTTATAGCCGAAAATTTCAAACATTGATTCATCTGACCAAAGAACAATATTCCAGTAATCTGGTGTCCAATTTTTGTGTTTTTTGGCCCAATTTAATTGTTTCTGTTAATGAAATTTGGTCAGACGTAGTTTTTTTCTCGTTACACAATCTCTGAGACTGACACCTTGCAAATGGTGTTTAACAATGTTCAACCGTTGTAGCACTGATTTTCGTTACGTGGTTTTAATTAAAACCAGTAGCAATTTCTCTTGATGCCATCGAGAACTGCACATGGAATCTATAACTATGCAACAGTCTCTAAAAATCTCTTATTTGTCCATGTATGGAATACTGTTGTTATATTTGGGCTGGTTCTTTTAATGATGCTTTTTCTCTTCTAGACAAGGTCCAAAAACGCATTGTAAACGTAATTGGATAAAAGGAGTTTTGATTAAAAAGAAACGTTTATTACTTTTCATAGAACATTCATAAATGCTTTTAAAGACTTGAATTATTGCATCCAAACCTTTGAAGTATTGCATCCAAACCTTTGAAAATGCACAATAAGGGATTTGTTATTGTTGAATTTAAATGTAACAAATTTTTTATTTAAATAGTTACTTATACATTTATCAATAAGTTTAATTGGATACTGATTTTTTAATTAGACAATTTTTAGGTTAATAATATCGTTATGGTAAGCAAAACCAGGTATTATTAATTTTAAAACAACGGTCAATAAGAGTTTTAACTAGCCCAAGTTTGCAGCTAATTAAGGTAAAGCTAAAAAAAATTGTCAAAAGACCAGTATATTTCTCGTTATGGTAAATATTAGTGATCAAATCATGGTTATTTTTAATGCAAACATCCAAAAATATTAAAATACCATTTTGTTCATGCTCACATGTAAATTTAATAATATGATGTTTAGAATTTAAGCACTCTAGAAAGATCATAATATTTACCACAAAACAAAAAATGAGAAAAATGTTGCAAAAAAATGAGAACTTGTTGCAAACCTAAATAATTTTTTTAAATTAGCATTAGAAATTTTATATTCCGGATTTTTATTTAATATTTTAGAAACCGCTAATTCAATGGTCTCTTCCAATGGAATATTAGTAAATAAACTTTCAACATTAAAAGAAATTAGATAATTATTACTAAAATTGTGTAATTTTAATTCTTCAATAAAAGTAAAGGAATCTTTTGGTGAATACTTTAGTTCAATACACAGTTTGACTAAAGTACTTAAGAATTTAGCTAGTTTGTAATTATAGGCATCAATTAAAGAAATAATTGGTCTGAAATTAGAAATTTGTTCAAATTTTTTATGCATTTTTGCTAAACTTGCTGGTTGTGATCCTGTCGGATAGATTTTCTTATATTGCTCCTAAATAAAAAAAACTTTCTTTATTTAATTTCTGTAGAAAACAATTTAATTGCTCTTGTCAAATTAGAGTAGGATCTTTGTCTAACAATTTAAATTTATTTTTATCATTAATAATTTTTAAATAGCTTTATTATAATCATTACTATTTAAAACCATTATCCCGTTACCTTTATTAGGTCTTAAAATAACTATATTCTTATTTTGTTTAATTTTTTTAAGAATTCTACGTTTACATTGTGTAGTTTTAGAAGGTTTGTAATTAAGATCTTAAATTACATTTTTATATTGTTTAATTTTTTTAAGAATTCTATGTTTACATTGTTTCAGAAGGTTTCTAATTACTATAATAAAAATGTGAAATATGTGCAGTTCTTATCTTATGACAATCTTATATGTTTTTTAAATTAAAACTCATTGATTGATAAATTATTTCAAACACTGTATATATATATATATATATATATATATATATATATATATATATATATATATATATATATATATATATATATATATATATATATATATATATATAGTGTTTTCATTATTCGCCATTATTAGATTTGTGTTTAACATAAGATTAATAAAGATGAATAATCATATGACATTACTTAATAATATTAGGTGGAAACAAATCAATTATATTGGCAACAATCCATATTCCCAGTAAGCAGACACTAGTTGGCCCAATAGCGAACCAGGCTCGGCTGCCGGGCTGTACCAGGCCTGGCACGCCAGCGCCGGGTTGCTCATTGGTTTTTCAAAGGGCCAGTATACGCAAGTCAGTGCTGGCGCAGCAACGTTTTGCTAGCGGCAAGCCAGCATTGATTCAATTTAGGGTCAACGCAGGCAATCAGCTAACGTTGCACTAAACGCCCACTATACAAAATTATCCAATTAAACTACTTTTTTCATCAATTTTTAATAATTTTACTTATTATATATATATATATATATATATATATATATATATATATATATATATATATATATAACTATTTTAATTATTATTATTATTATTATTATTATATATATATATATATATATATATATATATATATATATATTATATATATATATATATATATATATATATATATATATATATATATATATATATATATATATATATATATATATATATATATATATGTATATAACTATTTTAAATATATATATATATATATATATATATATATATATATATATATATATATATATATATGCATATATATATATGCATATATATATATAAATTTTATATAACTATATAAAAATAATTATTATATCTATAACTATTTTAATTATTATATATATATATATAACTATTTTAATTATTATATATATATATATACATATATATATATATATATATATATATATATATATATATATATATATATATATATATATATATATATATATATATACATATATATATATATATATATATATGTACATATATATATATATATATATATACATATATATATATATATATATATATATATATATATATATATATATATATATATATATGCATATATATATGCATATATATATATATGCATATATATATGCATATATATATATATATATGCATATATATATATATATATATATATATATATATATATATATATATATATATATATATATATATATATATATGCATATATATATATATTTATATATATATATATGCATAAATATATATATATATAAATTTTATATAACTATATAAAAATAATTATTATATCTATTAAGTTTGTCAGTTATGTTTTTTTTTTTTACTTTTTGTTAAAATAGACATAAGTTAAAAACAAAAAACAATTATTGAATTCATATAATATATTTTTTGTTAATAATTTACAAGTTAATAAATTTGCATTAAAAATATATAAAAAATAAATGCATTAAATTTATCATTAATAACATAAATACTTGTAAAGCTTATAATAATGTCAAATATACAATTAATATAAAATATAACATATAAAACAGATCATGCAAGACTTTGAGAACATTATACTTTGTCAGATTCATCAAAAATAAAGCGTTCAAATCGTGGTGATGATAATCCAGATAAAGGTTTCAAGTTCAATGGTGGGGCAATATAGCTACGGTTTTTTGTTGAACTGGTTTTTTGGATCGACTTTTTCTCTGCTCATTCTTTTCTGCCTTTATTTTTGTCTAGAGCTCCAGAAAAAAAAGCCACAATTGCCTTTTCAATTTCGCTGTATGTAGTATTTTTTGTCAGTAAATTTCTTCTTATTGCTTCTATAAACATAAACGCAGTCATATATCAAGTGTTTTTATAAACAAAATTATAAGAGTTTAGCTAAATATAGCTGCTGTATATATCTCATAATATTCAATAACTTGAATCTTTATTGTTTTAAATCTCAAATCACTCTTCTGATTCTATTCGAAATTTTGAAGATTCACGTGGCCCTAATGTGGGTATGTATGTATGTACTTATGTATGTATATATATATATATATATATATATATATATATATATATATATATATATATATATATATATATATATATATATATATATATATATATAAACACACACACGCATAGAAACACACATAAATTTAATAAATGACAATAAAGTGAAGAAAACAATGAAAGACAATTTTAAATATTTATATTTATTTATTATTATATTTATTAACTTACTTTCAATAACTTGACGAAATTTAAGAATTCAGAAAGACTTTTTTTGAAGATCACCTTGCCCTGTCCATTTCAATTTTTTTTGCTACTTCCCTTTTTGCTGCTACTCCCTTCACCTTAAAAAAAATTGTTACCACTAGTAAAACAATTTAGTTCATTTTTTTTATTAACATTAGTTATAATTCATAAAATGTTTTGCAATAGGCTACAAATTAGTAGTCAAAATACCTTAATCACAGAGGTAATTATGATCACTTTTTCTAATCTTGTTTACTTTTGTTTAATACAGAGACAGGTGTCTGCAGACAAGACTTTTTTAATTCTTGATGTTCATTAAAATCTTGTGAGTCACTATCATAATTTTCATCAGGTTACTTCTGTACTCTAAACATATAAGTCTAATGTTAAAATATAGTTTATAGAAATTTTTATGGTATATTATAAACACCTTAAAGTATACATTAAAAAGTATACATGAAATACAAAATAATATCTTAAGATATTACGATGTTCAGTAAAAATAATTTTAAGACTAAACATTAATGAAGCTAATAAGTGTATACTTTAGTCAACAAATAATAATTAAAACTTAGTGAAGTAATTGTTTTACTCAACGTCAAATTAAAAATAAAGAAATTATAAAGAAATATAATTAAGGTTGAATAAATATATAGAATAAAGGAAAATAAAGGTGGGGGATGATGACAATGATGATGAGATCATATAAAATATAGCATAAAAAATACATATATAAAATGAATTTTATTTAAATACATAAAAAACACAAATTTAAATAAAATTTTAGGGTGCATTAACATTTAAGCAGCTCTGGTCATAGATCAGCAAAATAAATCAGTGAATTCTTGTGTGATTTTTTGATATTTTGCTGATCTATCACCATAGCTGCTTAAATGTTAATGCTTGTTAATGTAAATGCTATGACATTAAACGTTAATGTAAATGCTTTGACCAGAGCTGCTTAAATAATAATTATGCTGAGAAGATCAAAATGCTAAATCACCCTCTAGTTCATCTATTACAATATTCTAATCACTTTTATCTGAATCGTTATCAGATAAAGCTTCAAATTCACTAATTTCATTATCAATTTGATAAGTAATATTGAGGTTATTATCCAGAAGTTGTTGGAAGGTTCATTATCTGAAGTGTTCAACCCATGTTTTTTGCAATTGCTTTGAACGACTGTTTTGGGCAAAGCGTCAATTGGCTGAGGAAAATAAAACCCAGTTTTACCTATGTAATTATAGTTATAGGCTCCATTAATAACCATTTTAACCATTTTGCGTCATGCATTTTTGTACCTTTAATGATACGCTTATGGTCCGGGAATGGACCATAAGCCAGTTCTGGTTCGCCAGCTAAGGCCCTTAACTGGATCACATGTGTTTTGCCGGACCTGGCTCGCCAGCTTTGGCCCATTAATGTACTGCTGATTGGGTTAAAAGTATGAGCCTCAGTAACTAAAAATATGATAAACATATACTAATAAATAGTGTTAATAGAAAAGTTGTTTGAGGGCTGTTATAGAGAAAAAATTTTTAGCATACAAAATAATTTACAAAAAATCCCGTAACACGTAATTTAACTAATATAACGGGTATCATAACGGAAAAACAATGCCTTCCATATTTTAATTGCCGTATTCAGTACCTTGGCACGGCTGTTTCACTCAATATAAAAGCGAGCTTGACGTCACAATTATTTTTGTGTTTATCAAAAAAAAAAAGTATTTCCGCAAAAAAAGTTTAAAAAACTAACCTTAAAATAATAGTGTTTTTTTCCTATAATCTTTTTTTAAAAGATAAATATTTACATTAAACGGAATAAAAATATTAATGCTTAAATATTGCTAATGATATTGGATCACTTTTCTGTTTTTTGTGGCTTTTACAGAAAACCTGTCTTGGGTCAACTAAGATTTCATAACATAGCTACATGCCTCATAATTGAAATTTGGAACATTTATAAATAAATGTCTATTCTATCTAATTTTTGGTGCGGATTGCTTATTTTTTGTTTTTTAACTATTTTTTAATGCATTTATATTTTTAATTTTATTATTAAATAATGAAAATCGTATTAATTTTGTAATCCGCACCAAATTATTGAAATTTTAACCCTTTCTGCATATAAAAATCAAAAAATTGTTTGCTGTACCTCTAGCTATGTTATGAAATATGTTTTCAAACTTAGCTAGTTTAGAAACAAATTTTTATAGTTTAATGCGCAAAACATTGTTTACATTTCAAAACAATCACGTGACCTTTAATTTTGTACGTCCCCTTGCAAATATGTAATAAATTTTATGAAAACAACTTTCTTAGCGAGACGAATTTTGAAGTATAAAATAAACAAAATTAAGCGGTTATTTCTTTAGAATGGTGCATAAATCTTTTATCAACTGGGTGTTCAAAGATCGTTTTCTACTTAAAGAACTAATTAATGGATCAACTTATTAGTGGATCAATCAAAGTTTTAATGAGAATAAAAACACATTATGAAACAATTTAAATTAACTATTTGTATATTTAAAGAAACGTTTATTTTTTGTTTAAAAAGACTGATTCAAGTGCCATAAAATAATTCTTTTACCAAAAGCGAGGTTTTTTCAAAAACTTTAACTCAATTTTGGTCATGAACTATTTTATTAGAGTCTTTATTTATTAACAACCTAACACCATATTATTAAAACCGTATGCATAGAAAAGAATTGCTCAAGTTTTTTAAAGGCTTTAGCTTAAAATGTTAAGAATAAATATTTCAAACTTGAAATCTGGTTTTATTTTATAATGCATTATAGTGAATTATTTTCTAAAACAAGAACTTCTAGACTTAAAAACGTGCTCATTTAACAGCTAATCCCCCCTTTAACAACATTTTTCATAATTTTGCAAGAAATGCGATTTGCTTGCAGACTTTGATAAAGACTGTTTTAGTTTTCCTTTAACAATTAAGTAAGATTTTTTTATTTTATTAATAGTTAAACAATGAGTGCATTTAATAATAACTATCAGAAATATATTTTTCTGATTTTTTTTTGATAAAAAGTAACAACAAATTACTAAAATTTCATCATTTTTTGCGCTTTTTATAAACTAAAAGAAGTTTTTTTACTATTGTATTAAATGTCGTATGATAAAACATTTTATTGTTGTTATTATTCCTTTTACAAAACAAAATTATCTCTAATATTTTAAAAGTTATAAATGTTTTAGTAACACCCCCTAAGTCAAAATTTTCAAAAAAAAAACAAGAAGCCGTAAAGCTCTGAAACAGCCGTACTAAAACAAAAAAACAAGTTGCAGCCCCGACCCCAAATACGAGAACAATATGTTTATAAAATTTTATTATTTACTATCTTATACTAAATTTAAATTCATCGACAATTAAATTCTATGATCGACAGTTAATTTTTCAAAAAATCTTATAATCTTTTAGTGTTCGTATAATAATCGTTTTGAGGAGGATGGAAGGTGAGGAGAGTGATGGAGGGTGAGGATCGTGGTGGAGGGTGGGGAGAGTAGAAAATTTACTTAGTAAACTAGTAAAGTGGAGGGTGGGGAGAGTAGAAAATTACTTAGTAAAACATTCTTATTTGACATAAGCATGAGCATGCTCAAATTTAGAGTTTTTACAATTCTTGAAAGTATCATATCTGAAACATCAGAAAGTCCTGTCCGCCCTTGATATATATAGAGAGAGACTTTTATACCTTTCTTTAATAACTTTGTTTTTAAATTATTATAAATTATTATAAATATTATAAATTATTATAAATAATTAAATTATTATAAATAAAGTGATGTGTAATCTAAAATCAAGAATAACTATTTTTTTGTTGTTGTTGATGTTGTTGTTGTTATACTTTATATATTATATTATTAAGTTTGTTTATTTTGTCTATAATGACTCATCTAAACTAAGAAAAAAAAGAGCACAAAACTTATAATCAGGACCTTTTTTATAATTTTATTTTTATTTTTAACTTTTAATTTCTGTATACTTAGGATCAAATTGTGAGGATGGAAATACAAAAAAAAATATTTCTACTTCATCAAACAAAGTAAACAATCTTGAAATGGCCGATGACACACAAACTTTCTTATATTGGGAAAAACTAATTGAAGGAAAAATAATACGAGATAATCCATCGCCAAATCAAGAATCAAATTTAGAAAAAAATTTTAATGAATCATATGAAAAAGATTGTAGGCTCAAGTCACCTTCAGCAAGTACAAGTTCTATTAAATCGAAAAGTAGTAGCGTTTATAAATTTATTAAGCAAAGAATAACATCTCGTAAAAGCTTAAATAACAAAGTCGATACGCCTGATAATGTTATACACAGTAAAGATGGGAGAATTATTCAAATGAATGTAAAAGATTCTAATAACGTTTTTCAAAAGCTGCAAGTTAAGTTAACATCACCTGATGCTACTATACTTTCAACACACGTGACTAAAAACAGTGATGGTACATTTACTGTCTATTGTTGCCCTAGTATTGACAACGATTTTAGGATGGTTGTTACTATAAACTGTGAACAGTTCACAAAGCAACACCAGGTATTTAACATTCATGGTTCATTTGCTACTATGAAAAAGAAAGAAAGAGACTTAGCTTGTAAGACAATCAGTCTTTTTCGATGGCATTTAACTCCCGGTCTTCTGACAAAGAGAGGAGACAAAGTGATTGCAAGAGTTGTGCGCAAGGCTTAATTTTTTATATATGTAAAAATACGATATTAACGCAGTTCTTAACCAGTATTATAAAATAATAAAATCCAGAAAGGATTTTTCATTTATATTACCAAGAAAAGTTTATTCTAGAATTTGAGAATATTTATTTTTATAGAAAAAAATTAAGAACGTTTTTCGGTAAAATCTGTTAACTATTATTGATTAATAAGTATTATTATAAAAAATTTAGGTTTCTTAAATTTATCTTTTGAATATAAGCATTTTACTATTAATAAGACAATCTTAAGTTTACTTATTTTTTCTAAATATATGTTTAAAGATACTTGTTTATTTGAACAAAGTTGAACTTGTTTATTTAAACAAAAGGTAAACATGCTCCAGCCAGCACATGTACATTAGGCCAACTTATATAAAATCATTGAGAATGTCGGTCATTTTCTATGATGAAAATTCAACATTGATTGAATGTCATCTATTTAGCAATGAAATCAATCTAAAAAGATTATTGACGACGCAACTAAAAAATGCTTGCGCAGTTACATTGATCTAACACTTGTAAAAAAACCCGCAAAAGTTAATTGTTTTAACAATTTAAAATCAATGTTTACTTAATGTATATAAGCCAAAGTTGATTCCACATACACGGATCAACATTGACCTAATGTAAACAACCCAACGTTGCGAGTGTAACTGTAGGTCTATATATATATATATATATATATATATATATATATATATATATATATATATATATATATATATATAGGTGTTGTGGTTTATCTTATCCAGCTAATTGCTGTATAGAGGCCACATACCAAGGTCCACGAAGACACTCGCATTTTTAAATAGTTTCATCTCGTTGGGTTTAAAAACTATTCTGATTATGGTACTTTCGAATTTATTCCACGTCTTCGAACTTTTTCTTGATCACGGTTTTTCGAAACTATACCTTTTAAATATTCCAATTTTCGCTTAAGGAGCTCAGAATACCCTAATCTACCCTAAAATGCCAAGTTCTGAAATTTTTTTCAGAACTTAGCATTTTATATATATAATTTTTAAAATCTTATATATAAATATATATATATATTTTAATGAAATTCATAATTTCTTTTTAATAGGAAATGAATAGGTTTTAAAATCACTGTTATCTTTTAATATAAAATGCGTTTTTAATATATATTGAAAACGCATTTATATTAAAAAATTAACAGTGGTTATTTCCTATTAAAAAGAAATTATGAGTTTCATTAAAGCAAATATTATCTTTGAAGTTTAAATAACTTTTATTTTGAGACTTAAAATGGCACATTTAAAAAAAAAAATTGAAATACTTTTAAATTAATTATTCAAAATTAATAAAATATATTTTTTAAATCAAAATTAGGTACTTTCTGAAAGCGCTAATTAATTATTTAATTCAGCCTTTTAATCAAGGATACTGTTCTTCTTGGTTTCTTAGAGTCCGCGCGGGGCAAAACAATTAATGCGCCGTTTAAGCACGATGCGTATGATATATACTACAATGTAGTATATACAGTATATGCACATGGTATATACTATAATGTGGTAAATTTAGTCTACATGTATGGTATATACTACTTGCTGTTATTGTCCTTTGCTTTTCTTATCTTTTCTATACACACTGACCCTCAACAAATTCAAGATCGATAAAAATGTCAATGAAAACTCAGAGGCAGCATTTTTTGGTGTTTGAGATACCTAACTTCCAGACATGGAGCAAACTCCAAAAATTTATATGTTTATACTTATATTAAATAAGGATGCTTTATAAAAAATTGCAATGATTGGAGCCTGGGAACAAAAAAGCCCTAAAACTTTAGCTGCACCTGCCCCAAACGTGAGTGCAACAAGTTGATAAAATAATTTTTATACTATTCTTGACTAAATCTATATTCATCGACAAATTTTAAAATTCACACAAAAATCATTTAGCGTTCAAAAACAATAAAAAGTTTTAACCCCCCTCAATTTGAGGGGGTTGCAAATTTTATAAGGCCATAATTGTTTTACCTATATTGGATCAAATAAAGTTAGTAAATTTCTTCATCACATTTGAAAATACTCCAGTATTTACCTGAACGTCATTCAAGCCTTTGCTTGAAAAGTTGACTTTTTTTGGCTATATCTTGCAAGACCCTTAAAATATGAGGTGTGGCACATATATTATTTTCAAATTCAAATTAAGAAAATATTAATTCTCCTAAAACAACATCAGCAGCGAGTTAGATTTTTTTCATCTAATGTTTAACTGCTTTGTAATCAGCTTCATCTTGTCTCCAATAAGAATAGTGTAATTTCTGTGTTGTTGTCTCTTGTTTAATTATTCTATTTTACCATCAAAGATGACAGACTTTGCGCATTCACTACCATACCATTCGTGACAGAGTTTTCTGTCTACAATTCTTTCAGACATAACATCATCTAGATCATCATTGTTTTTGTTTAGGCTCGGGGCGAAGGAGGGGGCGACATACGCCCCCTTCCATAAAGGCTATAAAAAACTACTTTACGACATTAAAAGATGCGTCTGAGTATTTATTTTGTCATGTAAAGGGACAGATTACCCATTCCAACATAAGAAAAAATACACATACAAAAACAAATCATTATTTCAGACATAACATCATCTAGATTGCTTGACAGATAAGTGTTTATATATATTCATCATTTTGCTGATAGTTAATCCACACTACTCGCGTTCTGACTTTCTTTTTTATTTTTTATTCATTTTTTGGCGTTTAAATGTCTGTCTATTAGTAATCTCTGCTCGAATGTCATTATGTATTATTCTGGTTTTCATTCTTTTTTTACGTGCCATGTAAATAGACCACTTAACTACCTTTCATTTATATTACTCTTCAAGATTATCTAAAAAATCTATAGTCCTATTCTATTTGGATCTTAATTTGTTTGATATATAACAAACTGTTACATTAGAGCATCTTCCTCAAAAACTGTTACATTAGAGCATCAACCAGGAAGTTCACCCGTCTTCCTTACCAATGTCGCTTATTAGCCTATAACGGTTTTACTCGCTCATTTTAATTTAGATCAGCAGATATTTATATGCTTATCTTTTTTTTATTAATTAAAGTAACTTCTTTAATTATTTTCTTTAAATTTGTAATTTCCATCTGTGTCATTAATAGTATAATTGTTAGTTACATCTTTTTTTTATTTTTAGCATCATTGTACGTGATTTTACATTTTTCCTTGATGAGTATGTTAGTATTTCTTTAGAATGTGATCTACGCTTGAAATAATTGGCAGCATATTTTTGTGAACCTTGCAGTATTCTAATCTTACTTACAATAGACCTGCACCAAGCAATATTAGCATGCAAACAGAAAGCAAAAGGTTCAAGCAGTTAGTAGAAATTGTTTAAAATTATCGATATAAAGTAAAGATTACTTGACCTTTTTTTTTGATTGATTTTTTTTTTTTTTTTTTTTTTTTTTTTGCAATTACGTCTTGATAATTCGAACAATTGTTAAAAACCAATTTAATTAACTTTTAAAAAAGCAATCTACTTAAATCACAGCTTTAAAACCACATCTCTAACCATCCCATTTACAAAATTTACAATTACGAAAGGCGAAGTCGCCATTTTAAGGTGGTAGCCTACCGTGAAATATGAAAATTTTCAAAATTTCAAATTGCACTGTTTTACCCAATATCATATACGTAGAAAATTATGGTGATATTTGTTTTTCAAAAAAATATTTACAACTTATATGATTTTATCATTAGATATAGGTGGTATCATTTTTTTTTATAAAAATTGTATAAATTTTGCGATTTAAAAAAAAAAAAAAATTAAAATCGGATCTTAAAAAAAATTTTAAAAACGAAGCCTCCTTGAACTTGTTTTAATCATTGGTAAGCATCTAAAAGTAATCCAGGACATCCACATGTAGTTTTAAAGTATAACCAAAAATATAACTTGAAATTTATTCGAAAAGATTTAATAGAAACATGCTTTTGCTGCTGGCAGATATATTTTGTATTTATATATTATTATAGTTCTTAATTTACTATAATTTATTTGATTCATGCTAGAAGTCCTACTTGTGTATTCTGACCTTGTGTAGTCAGTTAGATGATTATGATTATTATTCAAATTTAGAAAAAAATAATAAGTATGGAAAATAAAGAACTTGATGATAGAAAAAGACGAAAGGCAGGAGGATCAAGAATTTTCAAAAAACGACGTTTTCATGGCAAAAGTTTTTTTAAAGCTCCTGAACCCAACATTGACTCGGAAAATAGTTTGTTAATAACATACCTTGTTAATAACATACCTTCAACAAGTAATTGAAATGCTTCAACTTCATCAAAGAAACTTACATTATTAAATCATAAAGCAATAACAGTTTTAACAAAACGAAGTTCATTACCTAATAACAAATCAAATTTTCCACACTGTTACATCATGTTGGATAGCTTTGTTTTAAAAAGTATCATAGATGAAATTGCTATGTGCCCTCAATGTCAATCGAGGAGTATTGAACTTTCTACAGATTTATCAAGAAAGAAAGGACTGTCTGTTTTATTAAAGTTTACATGTACAGCCTCAGTCTGCTCATGAATTAAAAGGGTTTACACTAGCCTAGAAATTAATGATAAATCTGGTGGGCAATATCAATCGGATGTAAATATGAGATCCATTATTGCTATGAGGGAAATAGGAAATGGGCATGCTGCTTTAACAACCTTTTGTGGTTTTATAAATTTACCTCCACCAATGCATAAAAAAACATTTCATGATATTCAAAGAAATATATTAGTGCAAGTTAGAATATATTATTACAAGCAAGTTGCTCTAAACTTTATGAATAAAGCAGCTGTTGAGATTAAGCAAGGTCTTGGTGAGAACAAGACAGATATTACAGTTTCATGTAATGGCACCTGGCAAAAGCGAGGATTCTCTTCTTTAAATGGTGTTATAACTATAACTTTAAGCGATACTGGAAAATGCATTGACTACCGCATTAAATCAAAAGTATGCCATCAATGTGATAAATGGGAAACAAAAAAAGGCACTGATGAATACGATGAGTTTCTTAGTACACATGAATGTAGCATTAACCATAAGGGCTCGTCGGGCGCAATGGAGGCAGCTGGAATTGGTGAATGTTTTACATCATCAGAGTCAGACAAATTTACGTTATGCTTATTATATTGGTGACGGTGACTCAAAATCTTATCTAGAAGTTGCTAAATATAATCCATACAAAAATCTTATAGTCCAAAAGTTAGAATGTGTTGGACACATACAAAAAAGAGTTGGTAGCAGACTTCGTAAATTTAAAGCCACTTATAAACTAAAATTGTCTGATGGGAAACCACTTGGTGGAAAAAATCGTCTTACCGAAAAAGAAATTAATAAACTTCAAAATTATTTTGGAATTGCAGCACGTCAATGTAATGGTGGAACAGTTTACCAGTTAAAAAAAAACAATTAGTGCAGTACTTCACCACTGCTCAGATGCACTTGAATGAAGAACCCCTGAAAGTTGGTGTAAATACCAGTCTGATAAAATAAATGGTACAGCCCTGTATCAAGAAAAATTAGGACTACCCATTGTTGTAAGAGACATAATAAAACCAATTTTTCTTAGTTTAAATGATGATGATTTACTAAGTAAGTGTTTGCATGGGCAAACACAAAATAACAATGAATCGTTAAATGGAATTATTTGGAAAAGATGTCCGAAGGATATTTTTGTTGCTAGAGACACATTAGAAATTGGTGTCTCATCTGCAATCATAAATTTTAACGAGGGAATAAATGGAGTTTTAAATGTATTTGCTATGCTATATATGTATAATGGAAAATTTACGCAAGAGTTTTGCACAAATAAAGATTTTGTAAGAGTCGCTAATATGAATCTTAAGTCTACTCCAAAAGTCAAGCTTAAACGGAAAAAAAAAAAAAGAGCTCAGCGTATAAGATTGGCAGATGCCAATGAAGAAATGGAAGGAATAGTATATGAGACTGGTCTTTTTTAAATTGTTTTATTCTATGCTATTATACAGTTTTTTCTACATTATTATATATAGCGTTTTACTAATTTACAATTTACTAATTTATTGCTTTATGTATTTTTATTCTTTTCTTGTTTTTAAAGTGGTTTTTAAACTTTGAAGTCTTAAATAACATTATAAAGCCAATAATGATTTGAAACAGTTTGTTTTTCAAAAATAATGCTTTGTTAATGCAAATTGTGAGTTTTTGGCTTAAATTAGACTAAAAGAGTTGGGTTTTATTTTTCTTTACTGTTTTTCTCAAAATAATGTTTTTTGAAATGGTGCGATAACTTTTCTCAATTATATGCTATGGACCTGAAATTTTGTACATTGATTCTTTTATATATAATCTATTAGCTGAATTATAAAAATTTATTTTAACTTTTTTGGTTCTTTAGTTAATTGGGCTTAAAACCTGTATTTTGGGTCAAAATTTTGCTGCCATTTTGAATTATCATTTAAACAAAAACTTTTTAAAAATAATTTTTTTCCTCAATTGAGCCAATTCAACTTCCATATTAGATGATGTACTGTATCTTTAATCGTTCTCGAATTATTTATCGCAGCGTAAATGCCCTTTTTTTGGTCCCGCGGACCAAAAAACAGAGTTCCAAAACCAAATTTGAAAATTTAAATTCCTTAGTTTTGTAAGGTTTTTAATATTGCAGCCAAAAATGAGGGTTTTTTATACAAAATTCTAGGATTTAGGTTTCAAGGTAGACTACGACCTTAACGGCTAGAATAATTTAACAATTTTTAATAATAATTAAATAGATCAATATGATAATAATATAAAAACGACTTCGTTCTCACCACAGCACGTCTATTATACCTCTACCAACAAAATGATTTTGATTTAAAAAATTAAACAAATGATTTCCGATTTTGGTGCCAGAATTTATTTTTAAATTTTATTAATATTAACATTTCTTTTTAAATCAGTTCTATTAATCTTCGTCATAAGTTTTTAATAAATGTTTGAACTTTTTTGAGCAAGGTCTACAATTACCTGCAATATTATAAACACAGATTTTAGATTCATTATATCGGATAGTTATATCATGGAGAGGTTTCTACAAAGTATCTTAAATAAAAAGTAGTTTTATCGCAACAACTGAATACCTCGGCAAAATAAATCTTTTTTTAAACCGCACACCTCGACTAAGTAAATCATTTGTCTGGACAAAGAAATAATCTAAATTTTTTTCTTGACAAATAATAGATTACATAAAATTAAGAACGTCAAAAATAAACAAAACAAGTTTTTAAACAATTAATACACTAAACGTTGACGAAAATTCTTCTTTTGAAACATCACGTTGAGCACTAACTGTTATTCGGGCTGTAGTTCCAACAAGACTCGATTCACTGGGTGCGTTATATTTGAATTGTATAAATCCATTTCTTCTAATAGTCAAAAATTGTGTTGCTGGTGAAATGCTTCCGTGGCTTGCTTTTACAGTAAAAGTAATTGACTCTTCATTATCAAAGTTGAAAAGCATAACTTGAGCATCAACAGAATTAGATAATCGGGCGGTGAACATATTTCCAGCAAACATGGGAACCATAAAAGTAGTTTTAGCTTTCAAGACTCCAAGAGATATACGTTCAAAATTTGATCCATTTATAGTAAGACCTTAAAATTAAAAAAATGCAATATATTAATCAAATTAAAACATAAAGTAAAACGTCATAAAACAAGTACTTACCATAACATTTTAGTTTGAACGGTAAATTAGGAGGGGTAATTTTAGCGGAAAACACTCCGTTTTCTTGTATGAATAAAGATAAATCCAAAAGCACGGTGCCTTTCAATCCTCGAACTTGACATTTAAAAGTAGATAAATTGATATTTCTGCCAGCAACTCGAACAATCATATTATTTTCCAAACCTGTGCTTAATAATAAGATAGAATAAATAAAGAATACAAATTAAATAGTATTATAATACAAAGTGTTTTTGAAAAAATAAAAAAATTCATGAAAAAAAAAAAAAAAACAACCTTTGATGGGGTCGCTAAAAAGATGGACAGGGCTATTTTTAGCGGGATGTTGTTGATAAGCAAAAGAAATAGAAAATTCGATAGGGTCATTTGAAACCGCTTGAACACTATACTTGAAATCTCCTGCACTTGTTGGAAGATTAAGGGTCCATTTACCATAAAACCCTTTGCTAGAACTTGTTAATTGGTAAATCTTCGCCATAGACGTTGTTGTACTGGGTAAAGCTAGTTTGCCATCTTCAAATTGTAACTCAATCAGGTTTACTGTATTTAATGCGCTAGTGGAAGCAGATACAATAATCTTTTCAATGCCATCATCAACAAAAAAGTCATAACTAGTTATCGCTTCTCTTTTAGTATTATCATCCTTTGATGTTTCACCTGATGCTATGACTGTATCTTGCTGCAAACTGCTTTTCACATATTCTGTAAAACTCATTATTTCCTTTTCATCTTTCAGGGGGAATATTTGACCTATTAAGTTGAATAGCAAATTAAACATCTAATAAAATATATTTCTTAAGCAAAAGAAATTTCTTAAGAAAAAGATGTAACTATAAAAAGATGAAGAAACAAAAAACAACAACAAAAAAACTTTACTAAAAACACTAGAAGGAAATTATTTAAAACAAAAAATTAAAAACCTGCTATATAGTCAGAAACTGAATTTTTTTAACTGTTGGCCTAAAATTTTCTATGCCTTCATTATACAAGGATAATAATTGTGATGATCTCCATTACAAATAATCGCAAAAATATCATATAAAATGTTTAAGTTTTTTTAATTTAATAATCAAATGTTAACAAGATTTATCAAATAAGCAGCTAACAAAAGTTAAAAAAAAGTTAACAGGCGACTTTCAAAAAATATTTTCGTTTTTTTTTTTATCTTTCCTTTTTTTTATTTTCGTTCCAAAAGCAATTTACACTACAGATACTTATATTTAAAATACTTAAGACTTATAAAATAAATATCTTGAGTTTAAAAGAATTTCTATTTCTTGTGATCAATTTATTCAACAAGAAAAATAACTTTGTAATAAAAAAAAACATTAACAAAACATTTTATTTGTTCTCATTTTGAGTTTATTTATTATCATTAGTACCCATATTTCTTGTCAAAAGTATAGCTTATATATATCCACACTAGAGATACTTTGTATTACCTATATTTTAAATAATCAAGACCCATAAAATAATTAAAAACTTTTAAAGCTACTTCTAATATTTTTTTATACGAAAGAATTTTAAATATTATTCTATAAAAAAACAGCAATAAACAATAATAACAATTACAAACACCCTACCTGATGTGTATTCTGCAATCTCTTTAAAACTATCTATACCAGATCCACAACCATCAGGTTTTGCAAAAAATGTGATAGGCGAGGAATATGATGATGCAGCACTTTTCAAGGCATCAATATTTGATCTAGAATCATCTTTAGCACTGGCATCTGTGAAAACAAACATAGGACTGCTGTATTGTGGTCCTTTATTAAAAGCATTTAACATTCCACCAAATGCTAGTTCTGGACAATCACCACCACCATAAATAGGAAGGTTAGTGATCGCATCTATGACTTCAGCTCTTTGCTTTTCACTTTTGTAAACAACTGGCCCAAGATCTAAATGTATTACAATTGTTAAAAACAATAAGCCCAACATCGAAATGTATTGTTAAAAATATTTATTATAGAAATGTAACACTTCAGAAAAGTTTGCGCAAAAAAATTACCAAAATAAATACTTAAAACATTTACCAGGGTCATTAAATGGTGATAGTATGTAATCAACAGGAAACTCTCGAGTTGTTTCAATAATTGCCTTTGCAATTCCTTTTGCAGCATTTATTTCATCAGACATAGATCCAGTTGTATCCATTACAAACATTAAAGTACTAGCCCCTTGACTTGAAATTATTTGAGAAAATTTTTCATCACCAATTTCAGACTTAATCTTATTTAAATACCCCTCTGATGCTTTATTTATTTCATTAAATGGATGCCCTTCAGCTATTTCTTTCTGTAGTAATTAAAAGTTTAAAAAGTAAATTTAAAATTTTGCAAATTAATTAAAATAATTAATGAAAAATATTTATTACTTTCATGAAATTAAACAAAGATTTCCCAAGAGTAACACGAGCAAAATCGATAGAACCTCCTTTAGCAGCAGTAATTAAAAATTCTTCTAATTCTTTTAACAAAGTTTCAACAGGCTTTCGTGCTGTTGGGTCAACTGAAACAAACTCAGCAGCAACAGCTTTTTGAATTTCAAAGATTGCCTTCAAAGATTTACCTATATGGTTGAAGAAAAAACACTTTATGTATACATATTAATGAAAAATTAAGCAATCACACAAACTGAAATTTCATAATTACTGTCTCTAACTAAACAGCATAGTGAGTATACTCTTCAAATAAATTCATAGTACCTTAAAATTAGGAATAAAAAAGAAATAAAGAATAAAAATATTTAAAAAAATTTAATGCCATACCTATGCGTAGCATATGAGACATACCTACAGACAGTATCTACCCATTCCCGAACTAATTACTCAATGTCTGTATGCTATCATCCCTGATGATAGCATACAGACATTGAGTAATTAGTTGATAATAGCATACAGACATAGGAGTAATTAGAAGTTTCAGTCAATATATAGTAGGGGTATAAAAGGATAAAAGGTTATATCTAGTAGGGGTTAGAGTATACGCAGACATTACTTGTAATGTCTGCGTATACGTAAATGTGTGTAATCAAATAAAAAATTACCTGAAATTGATTTTCCTGGATTCGCTGCAACATAAAATTTGTTTAAAAAATTCTCAACAAGTTCTTGAGCTTTTGTGACACCATCAGGGCCTGAAACAAAGAGCAACACTTATAACAACAAATCTTCAAAAATTTGGCCCTTAATGAAAGTGATAAATAATTTAAGTAGAACACAGAGTGTTACATTTTTTAAATGCTTGCATGATAGTCACACAACACTATTAAGTTGTAATTCAAATTTAAATATAAAATGGAGTGATGTCTTGAAATACAAGTTTGTTCTTAAGTAAAAAATTTAAAAGTGTGCAGCTATTAAGAAAAGGCTTAATGACTTAAAGTCAAAAAGCATTCAATTTATGTTTTAAATTTTTTATAAAAGTTAAAAATAAAACAATAAAATTTAGAGATTAAAAATTAAAATAAAACAATAAAATTTAGAGATTATGAAACTATTTTTATATTAAAATACAAGCATTAATGAAAGTTGATACTTAAATTTAAACTTAACACAATTCTAGCAACTAATGCAGCATGGAAAAACAAAAACAAATGAAGATTTATATATTTGCAATCTTTATTTAATCAAAGGTTTATTATGACAATCATTTCAGTTTGAAAAAAAATACACATAACTAAGCAAAAAAAATTATGAAACTATTTTTATATTAAACAACAATTTATTTTAAATGTTTGGTTAGGGTAGAGCAGTCCACTGACCAAAAGGATAATCATATATGAAAAAGGCATTAAAAGCATCTTAGTAATTAATATTAAAAAACTTAATCATAAAAGAAATATTTTAAAATAGTTGTTTTGATTATTTTAATTTTTCAAAAAAAATCCTAGACTACAATTAAAAACCTAGACTACAAATTTAGAAAAATGTGAAAGGAAAAAAAAAATTAATTTTTGATTTATATTTTTTCAAAGGTCCCTGAAATTTTCAGTACACCATGACATTTTGTTTTATCCGTTTCCAAAAATATTTAGACTCAAATTGTTAAAAAAATCTTTTTTTTATTGTTAAACTTAATGTATATTGTGGTAATATAGAGCTTATCTAGTAAATTTAATTGCCACATTTAATTTGTTTTAACTTATCATAGACCCTTGTATTGGTCTCAGGAACCCATGAATTTTAGTTGCAGTTTTCAAGCTGAAAATCAATATTTTTAAAATAAACTCATATTAAGGTAAAATGTTTGAATGCAGATTATCAAGTAACAACTATAAATTACATACCAGGACAGAAATTGCTTTTACATCCTTGGGTTTCCATTTTCATTCCAATACAGTCTTTGCCTCCATTTTGTGGTTTAGGATTATCACATTCGCGTGTTCTTGTTTGTACACCTCCACCACATGTCTTTGAACAAGCACTGAAATCTGACCAATCACTGAAACCACCATCTATTGCTAGTTAGATAAGTAAAATATGCATTTATAAACACATATCTATAAATCACTTTTACTTAATAAAAATGAAACAAAAAAAATTAAAAAAGTTCAATAAAGTGCCACTAAATCAGGTCTCAATCACAAATCATACTAAAAACATTTGTCTTTAGAAACAATAAGAATGAGGTGACTTTTCAATATCAAAATCAGAGGACACTAGATAATTAGTATCGAGTCATGGTTTATCATCTGATATCAATGTGATACCTTACAGTATTGATATTGAGATCAGGCAAAGTATAAGCTATGTTGATATTGATTAGTATTGATAGTATTTGATATCATTTGATATCAAATACTATCAATACTAATCAATATCATATTGATAGCTATGTTGATATTGATTGATATTGATTAGTATTGATATCATTTTGTATCACAGCTCAGGTCTTCACAAGAACTTGTATTTTATTTTTATAAACAATTAGTAATTTGAAATAGTATACTTATACAATAACTGAGATGTAGGGGAGAGTGGGTAGAAGTGGGGAGATGTAGGGGAAAGTGGGTAGAAGTGGGATATTAAAAAATTTAAAACCTCTGATCTTCTTGCCTCTCTACTTGTAAACTTTTCCTCAAATTAAACTTTTTTTTCAAGTTAAAATTAGTTTACAGTACATTAAGCCTAAAGTTTTAGGTTCGATTTTTTTAATTTTTGTAATCTTAATTCAACTTTGACAAATTTAATTTAAGAGTACATTCAATAAAATCAATTTTATATTAAAGTTAAAAAATGAACTTACGAACTAAATAAACATATTCACTCCAATCAGTACCAACACAATCTAAATCTGATAGGTCATCACAACTTTGACAAAAATATGAAGTGTCTCTGCAACTGTTCAGCTTCGCTCTAGCTGCATCAAAGGATTTAAATCCAACACATGTACCATAAAATCGAATTGAAAAATAAGTATAGCCTTCCTTTTTTGCTATCTGCACGCATGGCAACGTTAAGTTTCTAAATGCAAAATTAAACTGGAAGGTTATCAAAATAACAAATTAAATTAAAAAATTGATTATCATAAAATCGATATGATTATCAATTGATAAAATACATTTAAATTTGAAAACTTTTAATTTAGATTTTTTAAGCATGTTTTAAGCGGTTATATTATATTCTACTTCTGTAGTGATTTTTTACTAAGTCTTTAAACTTTAATGAAAAGCTTAAATATGAAATAAAATGAAGTAAAAATTTATACCTTGATTAAAAATTCATACTTTAATATTAATACTTGTGACATATTTATTCAGATTTTTTTTAGGAGAATGCGATGAAAAATTTAATTTTAATCATCTTTCTACGCACTCTTACATAAAAACACTACTACATAAAAACTGGAAAACAATAATAATTAAACTAATTATTAATAAAGTAAATGACAATTTAGCTTTATTAATAACGATTGTAGTTATGATATGGATCTAGATTTATTTTCTAATTTTCCAAACACACTGGATCCAAATTGTGTTTAAAAATTGGAAAATTGTTTTTACTTCTAGTAATTGTGTCAATATTATAAACCAATACTCTACATTAAATGGAGTAAAAAAAAGTACATCTAAATGCCTTAGCAAAAGAGTTTTTCTTTACAATATATATATTAAATATATTAAATTTTTTTTTTCGCATTTTGTAAATAATTTGTACTTCTACTAAATGATAATAAAAAGTAAGTAAAAAGCTTGAGTCAAATTTTTTAGAAACTTGTTTAAAAAACTAGCAATTATTAAGAAAACAGTTTCATGCTGATTGATGCTTTTGATGCTGATTAAGAACCTTATAAAAAAAATTCAAAAAACTGAGAAGCTCTTATATAAAGCCGAATTTAAAAATTACAAACAAAATACTACTGATTTATAGTATTATAGACTGCTCTTTTAAATTTCTTAATGGTATCTCAACCTCCTTTCTCAAGTCCAAACAGAAAAAAATTCCGTAGTCTAGATCTAAACATAAACAGCTGTAAATAAAATAAACATGTGATTACAAATTCTTTTTTAATGACATGTATCCAGATATGTATCTTTCTAATTATCAACAAATACACCCTGGTAAACACAATCTCTGTCTCTGTTATAGACAATATATTGACAAATTTATTTCAAATTTCATTCAATAATTTTTTAACAGGTAAAGTTATGACCATGTAAAATTTCCCACTCCACCGATAAAATAAAGGGGTTAGAAATTTTGCATGGTCATAATTTTTAAAGGGCTATAATGGGAGCTTCTGAGTAGCATATAATATCCTTTGGACAAAATTAAAAGAAACTCAACCTAATGCTTAATATATGAATTGCAGTAGCCATAGTGAATTTGGTAGTGAGTTGAATTTGGTAGTGAATGAAAGCATTAATAAATGTCATAAAGTCCCTTTTTTTGCAAAAAGGGACTTTATGACATTTCATTTCTATTCTCCAAAATATCTACACTTTTTATTGAAACAATGCTAAGAGATAGCATCTTCTTTTAAAGTTTACTGATGAGCTAAAAATAACTTTAAAAAAATTAAATAAAACATGTTGGTCTGGAAGATTAATATATATTACTGCTGTTAAAGTAAGATATGTTGATACTTTAAATCAAATAAAAAAGAAGGAAAGGTAAAAACCATACAAATTAAACTAATATGGAGAAATTTGAATTTGTTTTTTTTTGTGTGTCTTTTTGCGTAAGATGATGTATCAAATTATACTTTCAAAACTACCACAATGAGACTACCACAATATTACAATGTCTTGGAACATTTAAAAGAGTTTAGAAATTCTTATCATGAAAGCATGTGACCTTGCACAACAGTGGAGAGTAAATACTGTTTTCGAATCAAAAATTCGAACTTTTAAATGCCATTGTGATGAATTAGGTTGCAATGATTAATTCGAAAATATAGAGCATCAGTTTCAAGTTAATATATTTTATTATATTTTGGATACAACGTCCAAATTACTTAACAACTCATGAGAATGGCAACTATAAAAAACCTCCTTGATTTTCTAGAGCCAAAAAATATCATTAAGTTAACAGAAAAATATATTTTAAAAAAATGTAAAAATCTTTCAAAAAAATATATTCAAAAATTGTTTCAGACCAATTCCCAAATCAGTACATTAAAGTAATTTCTTTGGCAAAAAATGACTTGACCCTTTTAATGTCTATTAGACAACTTTCTGATTTAATTCTAAATAGATATGGTTGTTTAGAAAGTGAATTTTCGGAAGTATATGTTTTGTTAATGGAGTTTTTAACACTGCCAGTAACATCTGCTAGCAATCCTTCTCAGGAAACCCATGAGGTCGCACACCTTGAATGACCATGCATATAATATTTTGTTAAGACAACTTGGCCATGGCTCCTTGCATGTTTTACATTAGCTTACATGTTTAAAAATATGTTTTACGTTAGTTACATGTTTAAAAATAAACAAACTATAACTGGAAAGAGATATAAAAATTAAAAAAATTAATAACAAACTAAATTTAAAAAATAAAAATCATAACAAATGATAAAATGCATAAAAAATGAGCACATTTCTCAATAAGAAGATGAAAGATTTTTACCCAGGGGCCATCACGAAGAAAATCACGGAAAGAGTCCCAGTCAGCTTTAAGGTAGTTGCAAGATGTGTGATGATAGAGGGATTCTGATGATAAAGAAGAACGAGATAATAGTTTTAGAGAGACCAAACCATGATCGGAAGCACCTAAGGATGAATGTGGAGAAATTGAGCACTGACTAGGATCAGAAACAAGACACAAGACGAGTAGAGAAGGTAAATGATTCGGGTTGTCTGGAAAGCGAGTTGGAAAGTTGACTATTTGAGTTAGAGATTGAGAAAGGCAAAAGTTGTGGGCTTTAATGCCTGCAGAGTCACTGACACTAGAGCCAAGCCACTCAGTGTGATGAAGATTAAAGTCACCGACAACAACAATATTGGCTAATGGATAAAGAGAGAGGGCTTGGTCAATATAATCAGAAATAACATCAAGAAGAGTGCAGTCTTAAGATGAAGGAGAGCGATATAGAACAAAGAGAAATGTGATAGAGTGAAGTGTTGCTAAACAAAAGCACATAAAAGAGTAGTCTGTGTATACAAACCTAGTTTCCTGACAAATGGGTGAATTCTTACGAATATAAATGCCCAGGCCAAGCATATGACTTTTGGAGTCTTTATGAATTAAAGGAAGATAACCATCAACACTAAGATCACAAGATGAGACAAATTAGTCTCACAAAGAGGAAGTAGGTCTGGTGAACTTTGCAAGAGATAAGACTCAACAGAAGAAAAGTTACTTCGAAGACCATGAATATTAGTGAATGATAGGTTTAGCGAACTCGGTGATGACTGTGGTTTTTTGTGTTTTAAAGTTTTTGTTACTTTATTCATTTTAAAATTTGTTAAAGAACTTGACTCAAAACATAGATAGTACTCAGTACACTGTTTAATAGCCCAAGCAATTGCCTCATTACTATTAATAAACCATAAGCCATAACAAAGGGCTTTGATGTCACCTTGGCAATGCACACCAAAAGTACAAACAGGGACCCCATCCATGCGCAACATGGCACTGTTAGTACTTTGATATTTTACAGTGTTGATGGAATCAGCCTCTCTGAGAGCTACCACAGAGTTCGGGAAACCTGACTACCAGCCAGCCTCAGAACCATAAAACTGAGTTTTAGAGCTGTACCCTCATTAGGAGATAATTGAATGAGTTGCCTAGTAATAAAAACAGAGACACAAGCAAAACCGATGCATCGAGTCAAGAAGATCCAGCGTTCAACATCCTAAAATGGAAACAAAGTATTAAAAATACATCAGCGCCAGCCTAATAGATGATTTATCACCCTAATTGCTTTGCATAATGTAACTTGCTATGCGCAATGGTTTACAACTTTCAGTATAATATACAATTTACTAGGATAGTTAGTTAAGATATTAATCTTGTTTTCCGAATTAATATATCGACTATAGTTATTAACAATAGAGATATTGGTCTTTTTTATAAAAAAGAATTATTTTGTGGTCTATTCAGTACAAGATTTGGTCCATTTAGTACAATGAACAGTACTGAATGGACCACTAAATAATTTGGTACAGGTCATATTTATCACAAATTTTACCTATGTTTTGTTAGCGCAATGGTTCACAACTTTAAAGGATTGTTAGTTAAGGTATTAATCTTGACTTCTGAATTAATATATCCGCCATAGTTGTTTTATTTTGTCTATTTTTGTTTAAACTTATTTAAATTTACTATTTTTTTTACAAAAATATATTGTTTATAATTATTTTTGTTATTTTTATTTAAATGTTATATATATATATACATATATATATATATATATATATATATATATATATATATATATATATATATATATATATATATATATATATATATATATATATATATATATATTTATATATATATATATATATATATATATATATATATATATATATATATACATATATATATATATATATATATATATATATATATATATATATATATATATATATATATATATATATATATATATATATATATATATATATATATATATGATATGATATGATATTTCTTCCTTTTTTTTATCTAATTACAAAACAATGATTTAAAGAAATACAACCATATTTAAACCTAGCCCAAACCATGCCCCAAGCCAAACCCTCAGTTGATATAGCAGCCCTCCTAGTGGCAGCAGGCTATAAGATAGTTAATGTATGTACTTTTGACTTTGTATAAAAGTTACTTACGGGACATTTTTTTTACAAAAAAACATTATTTACGGGGACAAAAAATTTACAGGTACACAAAAATGTCCCCGATAATGCTAATGTCCCCATAAGTATTTAAATTTTTTATATATATATATATATATATATATATATATATATATATATATATATATATATATATATATATATATATATATATATATATATATATATATATATATATATAATTTAAGAAACATTTAAAACTCTAAAAATGTCTTCATTTTCCTTATTTATTTAGAGATATTCTAAAAAAATCACAGATACATAAGCAGAATGTAAATTTTATGAATACAAAAATTATGATACAATGAAGCTAAACAAGAAGAACAAAAAAAGCAAAAAAAATTAAATGCTGAGACAAAATGAGAGAGAAAATTAGAAGTATTTAAGTTGCAGTAACAAACTACCATAAATGAATTGAGACTTCTACAATCATTTTTTATGATTACTGATACAATTAGTATATCGAAACCAATGTTCTCATCAGTAATTAGCCATATTTGTGCATTACATAATTTCAGGAAGCCTTGCAGATGATTCTAGAGTTCAATCAATGAAGAGAGTCTATTGAAAAAAGACTCAAAAATAATGTTCCATTAAAAGATCACTTTAATATACTAATGAGTAAAGTACATGTTTTGTCCGCAGCTGTTGATCCAAGGTATAAACTGTCACTTTTCCCTGATGAGCAAAAACATTTGGCTAAAAGTTAGCCTTTGTCTGAAATAAAGGATCTTATAAAATCACAAAAACAGACTTATATGACTAATATGATAGAAATGGATTCGTCTTACTCCGATAATGCTAATTCTTCAGCAACCAATAAAGATATTAAGCCATCTGTATCAGGTTGACAGCCATCTGCATCAAATTCAAGAACAACAATTACAAAAAGTTTTCTTACTTGCTATGAGTCAGAAGAACAAAGAGAAAGTAACCCTGAAGGAAAAAAACGAAGAAAGATTATTGCAATAGCAGATGAAGAAATAAAAATTATTGTAATAAAGATTATTGTATGACTAGGAGAGGAATTGGTAAATTAGAAAAAGAAGATGCAGTGTTAACATGGTAGAGATTCATAGGCAGATAACATTTTTGATGACACAAGAGCTAGGTTGTTGCCTAAAACTGGAGAGAACTCTTATTTTTGCACCGAAACCAAAAAATTCATTTACTAACACTGGTTCCAATATCTTGGTCTAACAAATGTGTAGAAAAAGAATTTAATGTTACTAATTGTATGGGGCAGATATCATGTAAGCTGCTGCAGAAAAATGGTATTTTATCTTCCCTGAAAAAAAAAAGGAAATGAAATATCAAGAGACTGTAGATAAAAATATTGAATTTTATTGTAATGATGAAAATAGCAAGCTAATGTCTGGTAAAAAATATTTTGTGAGTATAGCTAGAAGATCTTATATGCAAAGAGCGTTTGATTCTCTCAAATCTTAAAGAACTGTATGCTAAGTTTAAAACCAGTTATCGTAATATAAAGACTTATTTTATTAACTTTTACTCACCTTGTCCAAAATGGTGCATTACAATAGGAGCATCTAGTACACATACAGCATGTGTGTGCACATACCATCAAAATATGAAGTTAATGATTAGTGCAGTTGAGTTATCAAAGGATTATCACAAACTTATTGATATGCTTGTTTGTAATAGGGATAACAATAATTGCATGATACATCATTACCCTTTGTGTCCAGAAGAAATTCTATATTAAGACATCTTGAAAATGAGTTATACTCTTAAGAAGTAATTGATGAAGATGATGATTTTTGTATAAATTACAAACAATGGAAGACAACAGACCGATCTGAGCTAGTAAATCTAACAGAATTTGCAAGTAACTTTATTAATACTTTAATAAATAAGTTACAAAACTTACCGCTCATTTTTACATTGCAAAAAGTCAAGCTGCTTTTTGAAGGAAATTAAAAAATGAGTTAAGTAGTACTGAAATCATTGTCCTTTGTGATTTCTCAGAAAATTATGAGTTTGTTGTACAAGACGAAGTACAAAGTTTTTACTGGAACAAAATTGAAGCAACATTGCATCCAACAGTAACTAATTACAAAGTAAATAATGTCTTTAAATGTAATTCATTAAATGTGCTTCATCTTAGATATGGTATATCGAGTGATGAAGTTAACAATTGAACATATTAAAAGCAATATTTCTCATCAAATAGAAAATATTCATTACTTTGCAGATGGGTGTGCTGGCCAGTACAAAAACTGCAAAACTTAAAAACAAAGTTAATTCTTATTGGGTTATTTTATTTTTTCTTACAACTTAATTATTTCCATGGTTTATTTTTATAATTTCAATATTTTTTGAGTTTAGTATTATAAAACTTTTAATGCAAATAAATCTGATTTAAAAAAGAAAACCCTTGCATTTTTTTTGCATTATGCTATTTGTTACATATATACCAAATGTGAGAAAAAATTTCAGAATCATATCTTTTAACCTGGTCATTTTTCTTGGCTGGAAGGGAGTCAAATATTTAAGTCAAATAAAAAAACTTGACATTATCTGGTAATACCAATATTAGGACTACAAATAAGTTTCTGGGTGTTTGGTTCGAATAATGGCTTTATTTCAATTACAAAATAAATTGACACATTCAAATTAATGCTCATCTGAAGCTATAACATTTTCCCATATTTCTGGTGGTTTATGGACTTATTCATCTTGTTAAGCGAAAAAAAAAAAAAAAAAAAAAAGAATCATGCCAATTTTAGATACCCTGTTCTGAAGTAAAGTGTATTCTATTGTGCAATAATCAAAACAAATGGTAATCAGACGAGTAAAGGTCAGAGCTATATGGCAAATAAGGCAATACTTCTTAACTACTATTCTTCAATTATTTTTTAAACAGTCTTGCAACATGTGGTTAACCATTATAATGATAGAAAATTATGATCTTGTGTCTGGTTGTATATTCTGGTTGTTTTTAGCATATGTTTAAGAGTTGAATCTTTTATGACTTATGTCATAAACTTCTACAAAAGTAAGGCAACTTTCCACAACACTTGACTTCATAAAAAATAACTAAGAAAAGGTCCCTGCAAAAACGAGCTTTTTGAATTTAAGTTTCTAAATAAACTATTGTTGTCACAAAAAAAAATTTAAACTATATACTAAATATTGTTGACAGAAATCTAAACTTTGCGATCAAAAAATATATATACAATATCATTAACAATATAATGCAAGTGTTATTTATAGATAAAAAAAAAAAAAAGGTTAACCAGATGTAGGTATTAAAAATAACTTAACATTAATTAATTATCACATACAGTAATATAATAAACAAACCTTTTTACAAACGTAGGAAAATTAAGCCAATCGATTTTGTCCCTTAAGTTAAACAAAATTACACCTTCAGAATTTTCTCTATAACACCCTAGTTTTTGATATGTACTATCTGTAAATAAAATATATATATATATATTAATTAAAAATGAATAAAAATAATAATGTAGGTTTTAAAGAACTTCAAATATGTTCGAAAAAAGTTTACAAAAAAAAAAAGCTTTTTATGACTAAAGAAAGCAACTAATTTTTTTTTCAAATATTACTTTTAAAAATTTAATAAAGTGAAGAGGGAAAAACTTTTAAAGTGTTATTTAGGCAAAAAACAAATATTCGCTCATTTTGACCTACCATCTTAATCATACTTATTAGATATAAAATTTGGAACTCCTTAAAGGATTTAACTCTGTACAATGGTCTCTAATCTTGCTCGTATATAAAAACCACCTTTATAAACCATTCAAATTTTGCAAAAACTTAAATGTTCAAAGCAAGAAGCATACTAAAGAAACTTTATATTTAGTATAAATTTATTTGTATAGACATGTATTCAAAAAAGTGTATTTATATATGCACTATTTATTTATATGCCTATAGTATAAACCACAATACTATTGTAGTTTATATTATAAAAGAAGTTAGACAAATCATTTAAGATACTCAAAAACAAAGAGAATTTTTTTCCTTTATAACTATATGTTTGCGTTTTTCACTGAAGACAAACATACTTTTTGCTTACTCTTACTTAATAATACCACGTCTAAGTAGTTCTTAAATTGTGTTAAACATTTAAATAAACGCTACAATATTACTTTAGGTGCAACAATATTTTACAAATAATGCAGCATCTCTAAGAATATTATTTTTTGTGTAACTTTTAGATATATTTCATTTATTTTTAATTTGAATAACACAAAGGAATTATCATTTAATAGATATTTAATTTATAATTTTTTTAAATTTTTTTTTAGTCTGTTTCTGCGTTTCAGCAAAATTACTAAGTAAAAATAAACTTTTTTGTTGTTTATTGTTTAATATCTTGAGTTAAAAACCTTTGTGCTTGAAAATACCACGATAAAAATTGATTGCGGCTTTTAACAGCGTTTGTTTATATATAACAAGTGTGGGGTACATTCGACCTACCTAGCTGGGGAACATTTGACCAGTGCTTGAAAATACCACGATAATTTAATTCTCTTATCTTTTAGATGCCTCAAAAATATGTAACAAAAGCAGATGAGGTAAAAGAAAAAATTATTAGTATTTCCAATAATTCACTGTCTGAACCACAAGCCGCAAAAAGATTTCATGCCCACATGTCACAAATAGAACCCTCATGGGAGAACCAAGTGAAAGTCTAGGAGTAATAGGTACACCATTACAAAATAATTTAACACTCTTATCTACCAAAAAAACGCATTACTCTTGCAACTACTAGAATAATTCTAACAATTAAAACTGATTTTAGAACATGTGCGGCCCTTGCCTAAAGCTCCTTAAAGACAAATCAAATAAAAAGAGAAAAGAGGAAACTAAGTCAATGATATATGCTGACACTCCTGAAAAGGGAAAAGATTGATAAACTTCATTTGGAAAAATTAAAAAAAAAAAAAGGGAAAGTTATCAACCTGAAAAAAAAAACGCTTTTAAAGTCTGCGACTCCAACAAAGATGGAAAAAACAGCAACGTTATTTTTATTTCGATATAACTTTGCAAATCTTGTTGTAAAATAAATATTACTACTTGTTTTTAAATATTTTGTGGAAAGTATTTATATGTTCAATAAAACTTTCAAAAGAAAAAAAGCTTATAGATTTATTATTTTGGATATTCACAGAAATTCAAAAAAAAAAGATATTCACAGAAATTCGAAAAAAGCACTCTTGTTTTTATTGGTTATACCAAAAATTACATAATGAAACTATTCATTAAATTTGGAAATACGGATTACATTTTATTTATGCTTATTTTCCTAGAGCATTCAGATTTTTTTTTTTTAGGAGAATATAATGTAAAATAAATTGATAGCATAATAAACATAAGATTTATTAAAATTTGTTGCTTTATCTAATATTATTGACTTTTTGAATTGAAACTTATTCCTTTTGGTAATCAATTTACTATATCAAAATACACTTGTGGACATCAGGATTTAGACTTTTTCTTATAGTTTACTATGCTATAATGTAATCTTTTATTACTATACAATACCAAAGAAAATCCAAATCAGCTCTTGCTTACAATTGCTTTTAATTTGTTATAGCTAGCTATAACAACCAATAAGCAATATTCTCAAACTTAAAAAGTTTTAATAATTTATGTGGGAGTAACTAGTGTAATGTTCTGAAAAGAAAATAGCGAATTTTTAAAAAATACTTTGCTAGCTAATGGTAGGATTAATGGGAACTTAATGTTATTATTATTATATTTATGGGAACTTAATGTTATTATTATTATATTTATCATATGCGGTAGTCGTGTAGTGGTAAGAGCGCTCGCTTTGTAAGCGAAAGGTTCGGAGTCCGACTCCCACCATGTCCCTGGAAGTACTGATTTCTCTGCGCAGCGGCCTTGCTTGTCAAGGTTCGTGTTTCGGAGTTAGAGTTGAGAGAGGATTTACAACAACAACAAAAAATTAAAAAAATAAAAAATTAAAAAAAAAATGAGTAGCCTCCTCGACTGTAGTGGCCCCCTCGGGCCTTGGGGAGGTGAATAATTAAAAAAAAAAATCTCTTTTTTATATTCGATAAGAACTGGATACATTGCCGTTAACTTATATTAAATTTTTATTTACAATAGCTAATATAATCGATCCTTCTTCCGCTTCTCGAGTTATTGTTAGAGTCCTTTTAAGAGGGCTCTAGCAATAACTCGTAAGAAGAGGGGCTGAATGAGCATCTCGATTAGCACCGCAAATAATTCGTAATGCAATTTTTTGAACTATGTCTAGTTTCTTTAAATGTGTTGGTGCCGCAGATAAGATAATTGCACTAGAATACTCAAGGTGAGACGTTACTAATGATATGTATGCCAATCTCAGAAGGTTCTGAGGTTGGTATTAACTGGCTCGAGAGAAAACTCCCAAGTTACTATGACACTTTTTTTTAACATTTTAGAAAAATAGTTTTCATCAATGCTCTTGTTATTATTAATGTGAAAAAAATCAGGTACTACTCGACTTTCTCTGTCCTCCTGTTTTTATGATTGATTATGACAGAATACATTCATAATCGACTGAAAAATAGGAATTGGCGCAATTAAATGTACGTGATTTGGGTCGGGGTTAGGGTTAGCTACAGTGGGCCAGAACTCACCATTACTAGACAAAACTAATAACTCCTCATATAAAAAAGATTTAAGGACCATTTTTTCACTGTTTACTAATTTGAGAGTTGCGGTTTAAATGGTGATATTGGTTTTAATTTTGGGTTGGTATGGATACCTAAATTGCTTAGCAACCACATATTTTATTAACCATAATAAAAATAAATTGGACTAAAGTCATAACTTTATCGGATTACTCCCATAAATACCGCATACAGTATTATTATATTACAAATGTACTGGTACTATTTGGTTGATCGTGATCCCTGAAATACCTGGCAACGCTTCATTTTGCATAGTTACAGCCTAAATTTCTTAAAATATTAAAGTTATAAACAAGAATAATATTAATGTGGCCCTTTTACTGCCTACGTACTTTATGGATGCTTCCTAGCCAAATTCATTTGACATGGTCCGTTTACGATATAGGGGAAAAAATAAAAATGGTACCTTCTCAGTTTGATAAAGTATCAACAAGTGTCAAAAAATCACAATGGGAACAAACTTTAAGTTTTTATAAACTTTATTAATGGTTTTAACATAACAAAACCAGATTGCCTAATTTGACTTTTAACATAGCAAAATTAGATTGTAAAACAGGATTTCAAGATAATTTAAATTTTTTATTTTTTTACAACCATAAATGACACATAAAACTTTAACATATAGAACAGTACAAACACAAAACACAATAACTAACAGAACACTGAAACAGCACTTATTTAAATCGAACAGAACCAACACTCATAACTCACTTAACTCAAACATAATCATTGAATAGTATTCCCCTCTCAAACGTCACCTCTCAATACAAGACATCTGTCCAAATATTATAATTTATCTAGCACTCCCTTGTACTTATATAAAATACTTCTTCACTCTCTTAAGACTATTACGGTTTAATGGTTCCATATAAGTGGTGGAACTTTAATAGCTTTCACTGCAAAACAATAGCAGAAAATAATTAATATTAAAATATTAATCAAATCAAAGTAATAGCACTTCAACATGAAACAAAAAAAACAGTTAAAAGCAAAAAAAAAACATATATAAACTACTTTCCTACCACGTCCGAAAGTTTGGACATATCTTTAACAATGATATATATTATATGTTAAATATCACTGATCTTTAACTTTTTTTGTTAAAGATCCGTCTAGACGTATGCGTGGCCACTGCGAATAAAATACATATTATATTTTTGATAGATAACTCAGTTAACTTGTAAAAATCATTATTATCGACTGGGCGAACCGCAAATTATGAATATAAACCAAATTTATCCGCGGATTATAAACCAACTTTATATTGATAATGTACATATTGACCATTGTATTTCATTGTAATACATAAAACTATTCAATCATATAAGTGAAATTTTAACTGAAAAAATTACTTCAAATACGCCGTCATCTGAAATCATTTCATTTTACATAACTTACGTGCAAAATAGTATAGCAATAGCTCGTTTGAAAAATAATACTTGATTTTATTAAATTATGCAATAAAAAGAGAGGTTTTAAAAACAACTATTCTATGCTTATTAGTCAGGCCCGTAGCAACCGGGGGGTCAGCAGGGCCTTTGTCCCCCCTCTAATAATTTTTCAAATAAAAATTTTGAAATTAGTTTTTAGAAAAAAGAAAACGATTACAAATTAAGATATACATGAAAAAAAAAAAGGATTGAAAAGACCTAATTTGTTAACTGTATTTTCGGCATAAGTTTCTTTGACAAAAATTTGTGATCTTCTACTATTTGATCTACCCAGTAGTATTGCCATCCACCCCTACACTGTGGAAGATCAGGGCCCAGGGCTATTTTTTGGAGGAAAACGGATTAAAAAAAAAAAAGGTCCCCCATGACATTTATATAAAAATTATATAGGCTATAAAAGATGAATGTTTAAGCTATAAAATGGTATATAATAATGTATTTTTTAAGAATGTATTTTTTTTAATTTTTGTCCACCACCTGGCCCACTGTGTTAGTGTTAAAAATCAATAAGAAATGCTTTTTGCATTAACAAAGCTAAAATCTCTTTACCTTCATCAGAAACACGCAACTCGTGTAATAAATTTTAAAAATCGGTTTTTTCACACGAAACAACTTTTTAAAGAAATGAATATTTTAAATGTATATCAACTAAATGTCTTTAATATTTTATGTTTCATGTTTAAATGTAGAGAAAATTTGTCGCCAAATGTATTACAAAATTTTTATTGTATGAAACCTAAAAACAAATATAATTTTCGAATTAATAACAGTCTTATTGCCCCTTTTTGTCGTAAAAGCAAAGACCAGTTTTTTGTTTCTTACCGAGGTCCTTATCTCTGGAACAAAATAGTCTTACCAAATTTTGATTTTTCAACCCAAATGACTTTTGCTTCATTCAAACAGAAACTTAAAAAAATTATATTTTTAATTGAAAATATCTTGATTTATTTTTAATTGCCTTTTTTTTTTGTTTTGTTTTTGTTGTTGTTTTATTTTGTATATTATTTGGCTTAAAATTTTATCTTGACTTTTTAACATTTTATCTTGGTTTTTAAATATTTTTGCATAGAGGTGTATTATTATTTCACTACAGACATTGTATTTTTATTAAAAGTTAACCATATATTGTAAAGGACTTCATGACAAGATCCTCATGATCTTCTAGAAGTCCTGTCGTTACTAATGTAAAAAATTGTAAAATATATTTAGTTATTGTAATATTAAACGGCAAAAATAAAAAATAAATAAAAATAAAAAATAAAAATAAAGTGTTGATAGAAACCAGGCTTTTTTAAAGTTATAATTTTATCATAATAGATTATGACAAAAATGGTTTAATTATTATTAGCGTATGAGAAAACAAACTTTTTTATATTTTTATTTTTATGAAAATATTATGAAAATCAATGTTTTGAGTTGTGAAATTTTGTAAAAGTATAAGTACTATATTGCACAAAAATAGATAAAATAATCATACTTTTTTTGTTTTTGTTATTTGATTTTTCAAATAATAATAAAATTTTCAAATAATAATAACAAATAAAAAAAACTTTATGCGCTTACTCAATTTCACTTTTATTATTTAGTACGCTTTTCGTAAAAATAATAGTCCGCATATTTTTATTTATAAGTTACTTTCTCTTTTAATTTTATGTAGTTTAGTGTAATAATCAAGTTCAAATACCTATAATTACGTATAATAGTCAATTTCATTCGTCACGATAATAGTATAATTCTGTATAATAGTCAACTTACAAAAGAATATTTCTAAAAAAAATCTTTAAGGGGGAGGGGAGAAACTACTAACCCAAACCCCCTCCCCCATCCCACCCTAAAACCCGCCACTGAAAAGCCTCTCTTTCAAAATCAATCAATCAGGGGCTGTGCTTCTGCAACGATGTTGCCGTTCTAGTCCAGGCTATACACATCGCATGTAATCTTTTTAAATGGCGTTTATTAATAGACAGTTCATCTCAAAGCCTTAAAGCCATGTTGTTTCACAATGAAAACAACTACCCGTCTCTCTCGATAGTCCGCTCTGTGCATCTCAGAGAGGACTACATCTGTGTCAAAATGTTGTTGACTGTATTAAACTATGATGACCACGGATGGAGGTCATCGGTGACTTCAAAATGGTATTATTCCTTATAGTTTATCAAGGAGGTTTCTCGAAATTTCTTTGTTTCATCTGTCTCTGGGACAGCCGTGACACTGCATTATCGCACTAGCCACAACATGTGACGTGGAAGTCGCAGGTAGAACCTCATAAAGTGTTAATGTCGCCGCTGCACATCAAGTTAGGTCACATTAAGCAATTTGCCACTGCTCTTGACAAGGAGTCAGACGCATTTCAATAACTCCGAGATCATTTTCTAAAGCTGTCTGAGGCCTAGGTGAGGGCTGGTATATTCGTCAGATCGCAAATCAAGAAGATCATAGAACTTGAGGATTTCGCAAGGCTGATAAACAGGACGGAGAAAGTGGCTTCCTAGGTAATCACACAATCTCAGGGCTTCCTAGGTAATCACACAGCAACGTGAGCACGTATATCAAATTATATTGAACTTTGAAAGTTGTTACCAAAGACAGTATAACGAAAACATTTAGGGGTACTTCGAGAGAATGATTCACAGTAGAATTGTAAATCTAGAAAATTTAAACATGAATGGTTTCTAACTATGTTTGTTTATTATTTTTTCAATTTTTGTTTTTACCTGATCATAAAGACAAAAATGAAAACGAGTTATGTTTTCAACTCGTTTGTTACATTTTTGTCTAAAGTATGTAAAAATCAGCAAGTAGATTTTGTGCTTTTTACATACTTTAGACAAAAGCTGTTGATATATAACACTTTGAAGCGAGGATAAAAATTGTGCTACATCGTGTTATCAGTGATAATGTCAATACAAACTTTGGATGTGTTATGAAGCAACTATAATTAAAAAGAATCAAACAAAAATTTACTAGTAATTATTTGGCCATCATGATAGTCAAGACGCATGTATTTTAACAACTACGAAAAGTGTTACAAATTAATTTTTACCATGAGTGCTGAAAAATTTAAAGAATTTTCTGATTTTTGGTAACGAAAAAAAGGTTTTATGACACATCGGCTTTAATTTCAATCTGCAATCAAAGTCAATGAAAGAATACATCAAATCTTTATAGGGTTAAAATTGAAGCATGTTGCATTGACATTTTATTTGTGAATTGACGATTTTCACGCAACTTCACACAATAATTACCATTATATTTGTGAAACAATAATACACTATATAATACAAGTTAGGTAAATAAAGTTATATTAAGGATAAACGTGATATAATTATCTTCGAGTTTTTGTTTCTTTAAGATTTTCTTCGAAACATGATTATCTTGAAATTTTTTCTTCAAGAAAGTACTCAATTGCAAATTTTAAATCTTGATTGTCTTTTTCGGAATTATATTTTTTTAGACAACAATATCATTTTTAATATTATTGTCCAAAAAATATATTATCCTAGATTTAATATTCTAGATAGGAAATAAGGGATGAGTATAATTTTGAAAATTTTTTTAAACATTTAGGAGTGACTTTCTTTACAATTATATCAAGCTTTTTCATTAATGTATCATTATATGTGTGGTAGAATATATACTTTATGTAGAAGAGTATACTACAAGCATTCAACCTTCTCGGATGTTACTTTAGAAGTACCTGCATGGTAAAATGTTGAAACTAATTATATTTATCTCAATAATCGAGCAGTTGATTTGAATGATTTGCTTCTATTTAAAAAAATGAGTAAAAATATTAACGATTGAAAAGTCGACGGAATGGAAAAAGTTGAAAATGCTTTCGTGCAAGAAATGGGTTCATAATTTTAAAGACTGTGAAAACGTTAATGGTATTGTGGTTTAATCTCCTGCGGCTAACCGCTACCGCTACCGCTACCGCTACCGCTACCGCTACCGCTACCGCTCTTAAGTTATTTTTTCAAAAATCAAAACTAGTAGCGCTAGTCCACTACCAAAAAAATTGAAAAAAATTGAAAAAAAAATTTTTCTCTCTTCCACGTTGAGTTTGTCATATCCAAGTGGGATGATAAAAAGTGATGATTTTTTCAGTATTACACTTTTAATATCTTACATAGGACTAACAAGAAATAATTTATATTTTTCATGACCGTTACTTGTAAAGTCAACGCGTTGTTTAAGTTGTTAAACTAATAAAAAGTTAAATATTATTCAATTTTAACTTTTAGCAGCCCGCTTTTAGCGCTATTAGGTTTATGATTGATCATTTGATGAGGTCTCGCTAAAAAAATTTAACAACACCTAAAGTTTCTGTTATAGATAATCATATATTAAGTTTTTGGAATTAAGATATCGTCTAAATTTGTTTTTTAAAAATCAAAACAATCAACTAAGTCTTAAAAAATTTTGAGAACATCAGAACTTTTTTGTTTCTCTAATATCAAATTTTAGCTATATTATATATCAAGTTCATTTTATTTGTATGAAAGTTATTTTAAAGTAAACAGTGTTTGGTTTTATTTTCTGACTAAGTTTTATAAATGGTTCTTGATGCAATAACATAAGTAATCATAATGGCATTTTTTCCTTTTCAAATTTTACTATTGAATTCAAATTAACCATTAGTTCTCTTAATTATGATTAAAAGGTAGGATAAAAACCGAAAACCAGGAACCCTGAATTAAAGAACCCTGAACAGTATTAAAAAAATATTGTGTTAAGCCATATAAAAATTTCGCTTTTAAAGAAAATAAGCTTACCTGAATCATGACAAAGCACAGGCGTAATTATAATGGAAACAAGTAAACCTGCCCAAATCATTATTGAGCCAAATAAAGTATAACTTTTTGTAGGTATGACACAAATAGGTGCTTCTTAATTAATAAATAACATTTTTTTTCTCGTATTTATTACAAGAACACTGCTAAATAAACATTTATATAAAACAATAGTAATATTTCATGTTATTGTTTTTTAAAATTTATATTTGTCAACAACTGTTTAAACTATTCTATTAAATTTTAATTGTTCAACTGTTTAAACTATAACAACTGTTTAAATTATTAAACAGGTGAATCGATTACAATTTTTAACATAACACTTAGTAATCTACAAGTTGCTAAGCAATCTAAAACAAAAGAGTGCTAATTAAACTTTTTTTTGTCCAAATATAAGCGTCCTAGAACATGTCTGCGTCTTTAGACACCCTAAAAAAATTAATTTTTAGCTAAATTTAATTGAATATATTTAAAATACTATAAAAATTAAAATCCCAGCTAACACAAAACGTTCGAGCACGTTCAACGAACGTTGTGAGCGTTCAAGAACGTTCTTTGAACGTTCTATGAACGTAAAAGTTATGGAAAATTGTTTAATCGCAGCTAACAATTAACGTTCAGTAAACGTTATCATAACTTTCGATATAGTTTGCGTAACGAATCTTAACGAACAAGTTTTTTCCTTCTTTAAACGCATAAATGTATAGATTTAAACATGTTTTCTTTCTGTATAAAACTATATTTGCTAGTATTTATGCAATGAAATCCTTTTTTGAACTTAACAAATACGAATTCACTATGTATTACAACTGAATTAAATCATATCAAACTTATTTGAAAACTTAATTTGATTTAATTATTGCATTTCAACCAAAAGGCACACAGTTGGCTGAGCGGACAAAACATAAGTTAACAAAAACTAATACCAAAAAAGTGAAACATCTTCCCAGTGGGCACCGGACCAAAAAAAGACGTCCAAAACGTTCAGAAGACGTTCAAGAGGCGTCCAAACCGTGCATAAGACGTTTAAAAGACGTCTTTTTTTACGTCTGTGCCTACTGGGTTGCAATGAAAAAGTTATTAAGTTAAATCTGTATAGAAAACAACGTTGACAACATTAAAAATAAATACATGTTGTTACAGTAGAAAAGTGCAGTTATAGAGATTTATCTATATATATATCGATATATATATATATATATATATATATATATATATATATATATATATATATATATATATATATATATATATATATATATATATATATATATATATATATATATATATTTATAAATAGATAACTTTAAACTTTAAATATTAAACTATTACTAAAAATTTTATATTATAAACACATAATATAACAATAATTTTATAGTAACTATATTAATCTAACTAAATAATCATAATAAAAAGTTAAAATATTATGTTGATAACTAAATAAACTAAATAATTTTTAACTCTATTTATATAATTTTTTTTAGCCATCTCAACTTAATACATAAAACCATAGTTTTGATGCACATTTTCATTAAAATAGTTTTTGTTGTTTTCTGGTTTTGTAGAGTACTGTAATCATTTAATGCTACATGTTAATACAATTGACATTTGATAAATTATGTGTGGAATTTACGGTGTCTCGTTAAATAAGTAGTTCGTTAAATAAGTAGACAACCATTTCTGCGCAAGTGTGTTGCATGCGCAGATACAGCGTTAGCTTTCGACCTAAATACACTAATAATAATATGTAACACTAATAATAATATGTAATAAGTAAAACCAAATAAAAAAAAGAAGGTTAAATAAGGAGGTAAGCCAAATAAGTTAACATAATATTAACTAATAAAAGTAAAATTGAATAAAAATTTATTGATTATACCAAGCAATCAGACTTTTTGAATATTTATAACATAATTAATATAATGTATATTTACATATCCACATATACTTAAACAAAAATTATAATAAAATAAGTTTAAAATATTAGAAATAAAATTATAATAAAATAATAATCTATAATAAAAATAAAAAAAATAAGTCAAAAGGTAGAAAATAAAAAGGTTAAAAGTAAAGTTAAGTGTAACCTTTTAGGTAGAAATGATGGAGTGACTTTAAGAACAGATTCTTGAACCTAAGGATGAGACCTACTTTTAGGGTGGAGGATATACTAGTATGAATTTATTCCATGTTTACTTGTCTGTTTTAGTGGGAGAGTTAAGTTGTTATAGTTGCTTGATCTTAGGTTATGCCCAAATGTTTTTCTATCATTAAAGTAGTTGTGAAATATAGAGGAAGGACACCATGTTCCAGACAAATGAACAATTAAAGAACTGAATTAAGTCATAGAAATAAAGAATTTTGGATGTAAGATATAGGATGTCAGTAGGAAAATTCTTGGACAAAAATAAATAATCTGTACCGCTCTATTTTGAAGTGCAACAACTCTAGAGAGACATACGGATATAGATTGTCCCCAAACTTGACATGCGTAAAATTGAGTGATATATAGAGAATATATATTTATTATTCAAAGTTAACGTAATATCTTTGACTAACATGCCGTTGTAACTTTGACTAACATGCCGTTGGTAACTTTGACTAACATGCTTTGTAACTTTGACTAACATGCATGTTGGAACGTAAAGTAACTTTGACTAACATGCCGTTGGAACGTCTTAACTTCTGTTTTGAATGGAAGTTTTTCATATAACACAACACCGAGATAAGTTATGTTAGTAGACAAGTACATTTTTAGACCGCTTAATCGAAATTTCAATTATTTTGGAATATTCTCTTAGTTTTTTTAGAAAAGTTAGTATTTTGCTTTTTAAATATAATTATTTCTGATTTCTTAGTATTCAATGACACTTTATTTACTTTAAGCCATTGAACAAGACCGGCCATATCCTGATTAATATATTTATAAAGTCTTTTATTATCAAGTTATTAATTGAAAAATTGTATCATCAGCAAAATGATACGTTTTTGAATGTTTTATAGAAAGATTGAGATCATTGATATAGATAATAAAGAGAAGAGGACCTAATATGGATCCCTGAGGTATACCAATTGAAACGTTTTTAATATCTGATCTGGTTCCATTTAAAGTTACAAACTGTTGGCAATTAAAATGGTATGATTTGAACCACTGCAACGATATACCATGTACACCATAATAGTTAAGATTTGAGAGGAGAATTTGGTGGTCTACGGTGTCAAAAGCTTTTTGCAAATCGACAAAAACCCCACAAGCAAAGTTGCCATTATCAAGAGCAATTCTTATACTTTCTGTAATTTCAATAAGAGAATCGGAATAATTTGAGCTAGCTTAAAGACATCAGGAAATGTTCCTTTGCAAAATGAATTGTTTCAAATCATACTAATAGATTTACATAGAGTTCCTGACACCATTTTAAAAAGTTTTATGAGAAGACTGTTTGGTCCAACACTCCTCCTTTCTATAATAGTAGAATTTATATAATTAAGAGTTCCCTCTTTCGTTATTGGTTGCATATAAAAAGAGTTACTAATAGGATTAGTCAGGTACTCATAATAGTTATAACTTAGAATTTGAAATTACTTAGGATAATTTTGAAGCAATTGTGGTAAAGAAGTTATTAAAATGATTTGTCATGTTTTACGATTGGTTTCACATTTGTTGTTAATGAGTATACCTGTTAGGGAATCACTATTATTTTGTTTAACAAAACATATCAAAACATATTTATACCTTTTTATACCTTTCCAGGTGTTTTTTATGCTATTGGTGTTGAGGCTATAAAAATTTGTGTAATATTTCTTTTTGCTAAACTTTAGAAGATTGCTTATACTATTACGATAGTCTTTTAAATTTTTTAAAATTTTTTTTTTTACATTTTTTCAATTTTAAATATTTTTTATAAAATTTATTTTTTAATTGTTATTGACTTGAGGATGCCTTTCGCTACCCAATGTTGATTACAATTAACTACTTGATTTTTTGTTAATTTTTTTAAGGGAGCATGTTTGTTTGAGATATGATCAAATATTTCAATTAATTTTTTAATAGAATCGTTAACATCACTGTCGTCTTTTGTATGGTCATCCCATTCAACATTTGGTAAGTGGAATTAACATAAACTGAACAAGATCATCAGATATTGAAGCGGTAAGGTTCCCTGAAATTATTTCAGAAAAATAAAAGTTTAAAAAAATATTATCAATTATTGTCTTAGAATGAGTGGTTATGCATGTAGGCTGTATAATAAGAAAAATAGAATTTAAAACCATTGATTCTTAAAAATAAGATGCCTCATTCAAGGTTTGAGCAAGTCAAAGTTAAAAAACTATTAGACTGCTTTTTCTTATATTTAAAAGACTAATTCAAATCTAATTTTAAAATTTAAGTTAGATTTAATCTACATTAAAACACCACCTTGTTTAGCTTTAGTTGGCGTGTGAGTAGAAACATATCCTTCTAATTCAAGGTTAGTTAAAGAGAGATCGTTATCGTACAAGTTAGATTCAGTAATCCCAATGATATCAGACAAATTATCAAAAGATGCTAATAGTATTTTAAAGTTGTCAGTATGGTAAGGTAATGAAGATATGTTTATATGAAGATAACTTGAAAAATTTTGGGACAATTTATTGTACATAGGAATATCTACATATTTACAGTTAATTGAAGTGGAAGATAAGTCATTAAGGTCCCCAAAAAGTTTTTTTTAATTTGTATTTTCAGATAGATTTTTTACCCTGTTGAATTTCAGTGACTTTCCTGCAAGTATGGTTAACTCAAGATCTGAAATGTTAGAGAATGAAAGAAATGTTTTTGTACAGATTAGGCAATACCAAGTATTTAAAGTTTTGACTTTTTGATATGTTAGCTTGTCAATTTGATTGCATTTTATGTGTATCCATTTGTCACATAGGTCAAATTCAATTGCTGAATGATTTTTAGCTACCTCCATAATAAACTATTTAAGTTAAATATTTATATAGTTTATGATTAAGAGTTTATTATTGCTTGTTTCTGACTTTAATTTTGTACACTGTCTGAGCATTTCAAAACCCATAGCTGTTTCGGAACTACAATTTTATGTATAGACTTATTTGTCAATTATGCGCAGAACTATTAGTAAATTTTGTTATATATTTAAGTGTTGCAATTAAGTAGCACTAGATAAATTTATTGAAATCAATCTAAAATTGAACAAACTTTTAATCAAGTTTATGTGTCTATCTTTATTGTAAATTTATTGTAAAAGTTTCAGAGTTTAAACTGGTAATTGTAAAGTTTTAAAAACAAGCTGTTTGTTAATGATAGTAAAAAGGAGCTGTAGAAGTTCAAAGGTTTCTTTAAAGTTTGTCAATACTAAACACAATTCCTTAGATATTTTTTTAAAAAAACCCATCTGGCTGGCTTGATGACACCTTAATTGATATAGCACAAAGTCTGGAATTAGTGCATTTTTATTTGTTTTAATCAGATGGTTTTTCAGAAAGTTACAGTATTATGTAAATGATTAATGTTAGAAAATTGTATTTTGTGCTTCAAGTAATGTGTTCTGATGTTGTTTCGCATTTGAAGTGTGTTTAGTTTTATGGTTCACTCAATAGTTTAAGTCAAGATGATGCATAGATTGTTCATGCACATGAAAATGATTGTGATCTTTTCCTAAAAGAAAATGCAACAGCTTTGTGTAGCAGTATCAACCCAAGTTTAGTTATATGAAAGATAGTGATATGCGGCAACATTACCTGAAATGTATTTAGAATGGTAAATTAGAAATGTTTCCTTTTGTTACTGTTAGAATGTGCCTTTGGTACTATCATTGTTGTGAATGTATCCTATTGTTTCTGCTTTTTTTTTTCTTTGTTTTCATGACTTCTTTGAATATTTAAATTCAATCAATATACGTAAATAGGTTATTTTGTTTTTTATTGTTGGTTTGTTTATATACCTTTTGTTTTAGAAAATAATTATAAAGTTCATTATTTATTTTATTTTTATAAGTGTCTCATAAATGTCTAAAGTTATATAATTAGCTAATTTAGGTCAACTATTGCTTGTTCTTTATTTCGTTATTGGCATGATTTGTTTTGTTCACTTTGAAGTTGTTTATTTCTTACTGTCATTAGTAATTTATTTTATCCACTAGGGTTATTGAAATAAGATGTAGTTAATAGGTACAGTTGTTAAAGTCAGCTCTTTATTTATATACATTTGTTGCAGTTGCAGTTGCTATAGCTACTATTACAACTAACACAACTACTATTGTACCAAAAGTAGTATTTAAAATATGGATATCTTAATTTTAATTTTAATGAGATATTCGATCAATTTTTTATATAATATTGTGAAAGTATATACTCTTCTGGCATGTAGATGACATGACCATTTCAACATTTTTAACATTCATATGATTCAAAGATACAAATTCTTCTGGCATATATTTAGAGTTCATTATGTAAATCAATTTATTGACACACACTGATCAATGCATTTATAAAGTACTTTTCTGGCACAAAAACGGGTATTTTTTATTTTATTTTTTCATTGTGATTTTATGATACTATTTATGTTATACTATATTTCTATACTATTTAGGCTTGTAATTCCGTGTGGAAAAATCGAATTTCTTCCGAAAATGGCCAAGTTTCAACTAAGTTAAATTTTTTCAAAACGACTTAAAAACCTTTAATTATTTTGTTATTTATATTATGTAAGGATATTTTGATCTTGTTTTCAAAATAAAGTTTTAGTTTAAAGTGTGTTGTTACTTTAATGTTGTTTTTTATTTAAAACATTCACATAGTAAGAAATAGCAAACTAAGTTAAGGTCACTTATTATTGTGCTATTCACATAACACCACTAAAATCTTTGAATACACCCGTCTAGGTTGTTATTCGACGGTTGTGTAGAAGTGGTGTAGTGATAGAGCGCTTGCCTCATAACCGAGAAGTTCTGAATTCGATCACCACCTCGTTCCTAGTAGCACTACGCTCAACTGGTCTCTCCGTGCAGTGGCCTTATTCGTCATGGTTTGTGTTTCGGAGTTATAGAATTGACTGAGGGTTGTAACCACAACTAAAGCAGCCTTCTCTACTTTAATGGCTTTCTCGGCCTTGGGGAGATAAATTAACATAAAAAAAACGGCTAGACACTAATTAATAAATTCTCTTCTTTTCTTTTTGCTGCGAAAACATCAGAATACTTTCCTTAATATTTATTTACGTAGAAACGAGTAACAATTACTTTTAATCGAAAAGCTTATTTGTTAGTGAGAACTTTTTAATTAAATATTCTTGCGCATTTACAGATCACAAACTTTTACAATTGTTAGGTTTAGGGGTTAAAGATAAATAATTTAACGTGAAACATTTTGCTAAAATGCGCAGTTGATTATTTAGGAACACATAAGATTACTACTTTATAATGATCTACTTATTTAACGTGACAACGACATTGCACTTTTACTACTGGATTTTACGTGCCTTTATCTGTATTAAAAATTAATTGCCTCCTTAGTCTTATATCACCAAAATTTATATCTTTTAAGACAAAGTTGAATTATGAATTAATTTAAATTCAACTTTGTCTTTGCGTTTGTCTTTAATTTAATGCAAAAAAATAAATAAACCGCTGAAAAGTTTTAGTTTTGCTTATGTTTATTTATTTTTAATGACGCATTTCTTCAAAAAAGGCGTCAATTATGTTAGTTTTGTAAACTTATTTTTCAAATAGAAAACTACTAGTTAACTTTATATTTTTTTATTTTTGAGTTAAATAAATCTTATTTCCTTATAAACTATCTACTCCAACTTAAGGCTACTTAATACCAAAAATTGCTGGTACCTAATAATAGTCGTTATTTTTGTTTTGTTTGGATTTTTCTTATCTAGTTGAAATTGAAAATTTATAAATGTGATTTCTATTATGGTTTATTCTATTCTATTATGACTATATGCGATTTCTATTATGGTTATTATTCATATTATTTTTGTTATTATTATATTTTTAAATAATAGTAAATAATAGTAATAGTCTTTATACCAATATAGTATTATTATCTTAACACTACTTTTATTTTATTTTTATTTTTATTATTTATTTTTTTTTACTACCATTATTTCTTATTATTGCTATATATTTTTTATTTTACTATATAGTTTTATTATTATAAATTTACTATTGCTATATATTTTGATGTTTGATTCAATGTTTATTTCTACTCGAATAGTTTATATTATTTTTATAATACTATTATTAATATTATTATTTTCTTAATTGTTTATATTGATGTTGTATTTGTTATGTATTTGCTTTATATTAGTACTCGTACTATTGTAAATATCCTTGAAATATTAAACATCTTTTTTCAGAATATATTTGACTTGATTTGATTTGAAAACTAATATAAAGACGCCATCTACATTTCCGGAATGGTTAACTCTGTTATTACAGGTTTCTCACAGAGTGGGTTAAGTATGGAGGAAGATAATGTCCTCCAAATATATATATGTATGTATGTATATATGTATATATATATATATATATATATATATATATATATAATATATATATATATATATATATATATATATATATATATATATATATATATCCCTCGGAATTAGGGTCGGCAATGCCAACCTAACTGCCAACCTAAAAGTGCTGAAGTTTAGAAAAAAATTGCCGACCTCGTTTCTATGTTTTATGGTCAGACCTTTATATTAAATAATTTTTGCCGACCTCAAAAATATATATATATATATATATAATATATATATATATATATATATATATATATATATATATATATATATATATATATATATATATATATATATATATATATATATATAATTAAAAACGAAAAAGAGAAAACCTTTCAGCCATAAATTACAAAATTAAAAATTAAACATTAAAACTACAATTAGAAATTGCGGTGGCATGAGTTCTAATGACCACATGGAAACAAAATTTTGGAATATATATATATTAATATTATTATTTTTATTATTAATGTATTTAATTCAAACATCATGTACATACAAATAGGCACAAGGTCCATAGATAATATTGATCAAAGGGTAAATAAAAAAGCACATATACAGCCGTATACAACAACCCATTATATCGACAGTCTTAATATTTTGTTAACTATACCAACAGTGAAATTTCTATTAGAACATTCATATATGCGATGATTGGAGGTATTATTTCTATGATGACACCTGAAGATAGTTGGGTGGCTAAATGGCAAAGTATAGATAAGCTTAGACCGGGTTGTTATGCAACTTCTGTTTATGGAAAGCTGTCTTTTGATATTATTAAAGATTTAAAATCAAGGGGAATACCTTATAGATCGCGAGATACATCAAGTATTTGAGTTATTTTTTATAACTTGTTTTTTGCTAACAAAATAGAATTTGGAAAAAATATATATTGTTTACATTAAAATAAGTAAATAGAATACTAAGTATTTTTTTCAAATAACACTTGATTTAATATTAGATAAAGTATTTTTTAGCTCTGGCATTTTCAATAAATAGAGAACTTGATATATTTATAATATACATTTCAATGAAATAACATATTTATATTTTTTAATTATGGCTTATATGTTGTTATTAATGTTATATGTATTTTAATTTTTTTTTCTTTGACTGAATTAATCATAAAACACAAAAAATTGCGATGATTGGAGGCTGCGAACAAAAAAGCCCTAAAATTATCGCCCCCTCCCTGCCCCAAACGTGAGAACAACAAATTGATAAAATATTTTTTGTACTATTCTTAACTAAACTTATATTCATCGATTAATTTTAAGTTTCATGTAAAATCTCTCAGCGTTTAATAATTACTAGCAGTAAGCAACCCGTAATACGCGTTGTTAGTAAATAAAATTAAAAAACCGCGTATAGAAAAGCCTAGAAACTACTTTAAAATAGAAAAGCCTAGAAAATGACGTAACTCGACTAATAATAATAATATTAAATTAGCATATTCATATTATCAGATAAACTTACTTAGGTTGAACCCCCCTTTGAGGGGGTTACATAGTTTAAACGGTCATAATATATATATATATATATATATATATATATATATATATATATATATATATATATATATATATATATATATATATATATATATATATATATATATATATATATATATATATATATATATAGTAGGTGGCCAAATTATTATGTACACTTAACTTTTTTCAGTAATTTTCAAGTTTAAACTGCTTTAATGAATAAATACGTACTTTATAATTATTTTTTTGTTTATTTATTTAACAAAAGCTTTCGTTAAATAAATAAAAAAAAACGGCGTAGATTGTCTTGTTCAAACAGTTTCAAAAATAAAATATTATTTCAGCACCAACAGAGCCTCCCCCAAAGAAGACCCGACATAACCAAAGTAATTCAAGATAACCCTGAATAGGTTGCTTTTCGTCGATGACTTTGGTGTATAATGTTACCATTTCCTTTCGAAGGACTTCCATATCTCCAATAAAGAGCTTATTTTTTGCTGGAGAGAATCTTGCTTGTTGAATATATGCTAAGCCAACAATATCTTCGGATATAAGAACATTGTATAGAAAAATATAGCATGAAAATTCAAATAAAAATCAAAAAAAAAAAAAAAAAAAAAATTCCTCAGGTTCCCCTGTTCCACCAAAGAGAGCTGTAAAAATATTGCTCAGAATAACCTCCAGAACATGGTGGTACCAACCAATACTTACAAGCTCACGACCAACTGATTTCTAGATTAGAACACATGCTCCTTTGTAAATACATGTGTTGGATGATGTTGTGTCAAAGACTAAACCCTGAAGTTTGTCTCGAATTTTCCAATCATCCAAGATCTTTAAGTAAGCTGCTGCTTGTTCCACTCCTGTTTCTTTTCCAATTTTTGGAAATGCTAGCAATTTCTCCAAACCTTTTCCAGTTACAATCAATGCAACGTGGTCCACAGTTTCTTTTGAACCAGTAATATCTGGAAGCAGTTTCCCATCCCAGTGTAGAAGCAACGGAAGTTCAATGGAAAAGTTGTCTTTGTCATTCTGAGTAATGTGTTTACGCGAGATCTCCTGATTGTACTTCGAAACACACTTAAGTCTGCAAGAAGATGTCCTAGTGCTTTAGCCACTGAAGCAACAACAAACATAGCTTTGCAATCTGGAAGGTTAACTCTATCGCAAGCTCCAGCAACTTCTGGGCTTGACACTACTTTTCCGACGCTTTGGCTTTGGTTTAGAAGAAACAGACTACAGAAGACAGAATCTCAAAACTCGGGTCATCATTGCTGTCTTGACTGTCTTCTAAGCTGCTGATGTTAGCTGAGACAGAACCACTGCTGTGTTGCTGTTTTGATAACCTTGCATCAAATGCTTGATCTCGAGCTAATAATAATAATAATAATAGCAATAATAATAATAATAATAATAATAATAATAATAATAATAATAATAATAATAGCAATAATAATAATAATAATAATAAATTGTTTATTGAAATACTGCAGACATGTGCCTATTACAAATTGGGCACCAAATTATAGATAACTAAAAAATATTAGATACATAAGTGAATTCATATAGCATCTGCTTTTCAGCAAGCATTAATTTATTTACCAGTGTTGAGATATATGTTCAGTTACGCAAAAATTACACAAAAATTTGTATAAACTCTTAAAAAGTGAGTATTGTCAAAAAAATGATGAAATCATAGCGACCTCTAAAAC